TAGAATCAGTTTCTAGAAGTCTTACTTCCAAGCTAAGCATGTAGCCCACTAGAAGTGTTCAGCCAGACAGATTTGGGTTTAAATTTTGACTGTGTCTCTAACTAGCAGTGTGACCTTGGATAAGTTACTCCTACTTTCTGAGTCTTGGTTTCTTCAGCTCTAAAAGGGAGTGATAGTAATATCCATTCACAAGGTAGCAGGGGTGCGTAGAGGAACAATGGACATAAAGAGCCAGGCACACCCTTAAGTGCTCAGTATATGCGAAGTGTTATTTTACGATTCCCTCAACAAACTTGGGAATGCCTTTTTCTGAGCCAGGAACCATGCAAGCAGCTGGATATAGAGAGATGAATGAGGCATTGTCCTTACTTTTGGATATTTCACAGTCAAGTCAGGAAAGACATGTTGAAACAGTTGCAATAGAGATTCAGTAAGAGAATTAATAATAGAATGTACATTTCTAGAGCTGGCACAAAAGAGGAAGGCTAGCTCTCTTTTGTTTAGAACAAAGACAAATGTGTAATGACCTGGATCTTTTTTTTTTTTTTTTTTTTTTAAATTTCTCTTGTTTTTATTTTTTTAGAGACAGGGTTTTACTCTGTTGCCCAGGCTGAAGTGCAGTTGTACAATCGTAGCTCACTGTAACCTCAGACTCCTGGGCTCAAATGATCCTCCCATTTTAACCTCCTGAGTAGCTGGGACTACAGGGATACACCACCATGTCTGGCTAATTTATTTATTTCTTTTTTTGAGGCAAGGATTTGTTCCATCATCCAGGCTGCAGTTCAGTGGTGTCATCACAGTTTACTGCAGCCTCGACCACCCAGGTTCAAGCGATTCTCCCACCTCAGTCTCCCAAGTAGCTGGGACTACAGACATGAGCCATTACACTTGGCTAATTTTTGTATTTGTTTGTAGAGACAGGGTCTCCCTGTGTTGCCCAGGCTGGTCTCAAACTCCTAGGCTCAAGTGATCCTCCCACCTTGGCTTCCCAAAGTGCTGGGATTACAGGTGTGAACCACTCTAGCTAGCCCTTGACCTGGGTCTTGAAAGAGTAGATTTTTGAGCCGGGCACAGTGTCTCATGCCTGTAATCCCAGCACTTTGGGAGGCTGAGGTGGGTGGATTGCCTGACGTCAGGAGTTTGGGGAAAACTCCATCTCTACTAAAAAAATACAAAATTAGCTGGGTGTGATGGTGCATGCCTATAATCCCAGCTACTTGGGAGACTGAGGCAGGAGAATCACTCAAACCCGGGAGGCAGAGGTTGTGGTGAGCCTAGATCGTTCCATTGCATCCTACCCTAGGCAACAAGAGTGAAATTCCATCTTCAAAAAAAGAGAAAAAAAAAAAGAAGAAAAGAGTAGATTTTCTCAGCCAGCTATATGTGATGAGTGTTTCAAGCACAAGGAATATTATGTGCAGAAACGTGGCATATTATAGAAACAGGAAGAAGATGGGGTGGCTGCAGCCTGGATTGTCACAGGAAAGGAGGTTAGAGGAAGGCACAGTCAAATTTTGGGTGAAATTTTCTGAGCAGATTCGACTTTAACCTACAGGCACTGAGAAGCTTTGAAGAGTTTTCAGCAGCATTGTGACATGGCTGGAGTGAACCACGTTGTGTGCTGTGGTATGTTAATTTCAGGGTGAAAAAAGTGGCTGTTGGGGGTGTCATCTCAGAGGCCTACTAATGTTCTAAGGAGATGGACTGATCAGGGCCTGACCTCAGCAGGGCCTCATCTGGGCGGTGCTGGTGGAAATGGAGTATGATAAAGATTTCTAGGAGTTTAGCTTCGTTTTTAGGGTTTTAGAAGGTGGAACCAACAAACCTGGTGATTGGTCTGACAAAAGGAGCAGGTGCTTTCTGGGTGCCTAACTTGATCAGGGAATTTGCTGGTGTGGGGGGAGGGTTATGAGGCCTACCTTAGTCATATTGAGTGTGGGAAGCCCATGAGACACTCAGAGACAGCGGCTTTGAAGGCAGATGGGTACATAGGTCAAGGGCACAGGAGAGAGGTTTGTATCAGAAATGGTGAGAAGTTCTGATCACAGCAGTATTTAGTAAGGCATACCTGTGCCAAGAGGGCCAGGCTGGGGATGGGCTGGGAGACTGACCAGGAGTTTTGCAGGTTTCCAGCACAAGGGATGAGGCCAGAGGCTATGATGACCTAGGATTGCAGTGGAGAAGGGCAAAGGTGATTCTGTGCTCCTGGGTGTGTTTCCTTCTCTGTACGGAGGAGATAGATAGCACCGAGCTCAGAGCTGCAGTGAAGCTGATGTGTGATATTGCATGTGAGGGTCAGTATGGTGCCTGGCACATGGCTAACTAATGGAATCTCTGGAGCCTGTGAGGGCAGTGTGGAGCATGTAGTGGGAGCTCAAGCAGCATTAGTTGAAAGCAGGGGCTTTGTGAAGCACAGGGGAATGAGCACTTGGTTGTGGCAGTGGAGGTGTCGAGAATGGCTTCAGTGGTGGAGTTTAGATGTCAGAGAGTTGACTGCGCAATTGCATTGCTGGATGGACACGTGGCAATACAGGACTGGCACTGAGGGAGGAGGCCAGGACTGCCCATGCAGGTTTGGGAGTCTCTGTGCACAAAAGTGAGCCATCACTGAGGAAAGCAAGGAGAAATGAAAGGAGTGTGGAGGGCAGGGGCCAAGCCCAGAGGAGCTCGGGGCAGCAGGTGAGGGTCATAGGTGAGTCAGCAGAAAGCAAAGAGCAGCAGAGGAAGAGTTTCTAGGTGGTGTCCCTCCAAAGCCAGAAACAAACCAAGCCTGATTGTTTCATCTTCCTGAGCTTAGCATGATGTACATTTCTGGCAGGTGGAGATATTTTTTGAAATATCTGCCATATTGGATTACCTAGAAATCACCATGCCTCTTTATTTGCACAGGTGCTGGTGACAATTGTGCTGACTGCCCAGGGTCTTAGCATCCTGGAACCTGAGAAACCCTGCACAGCAGTCTTCATGAGAGCCAAAGGGTTTCCTGAGGGCCCCTTCATTAGCCAGCTCCCCCATAAATATAATGTAATTCAGTTTACTTAAGAAAACTATTGCCGGGCGCGGTGGCTCAAGCCTGTAATCCCAGCACTTTGGGAGGCCGAGGCGGGTGGATCACGAGGTCAAGAGATCGAGACCATCCTGGTCAACATGGTGAAACCCCGTCTCTACTAAAACTACAAAAAAATTAGCTGGGCATGGTGGCGCGTGCCTGTAGTCCCAGCTACTCAGGAGGCTGAGGCAGGAGAATTGCTTGAACCCAGGAGGCGGAGGTTGCGGTGAGCCGAGATCGCGCCATTGCACTCCAGCCTGGGTAACAAGAGCGAAACTCCATCTCCAAAAAAAAAAAAAAAAAAAAAAGAGAAAACTATTGGAGACATAGCTTTTAGGTGATGCAGCTGTCAGGTAAAAGCATATAGAGAAATGTGTTTGTAAGACATGTTGACGTGGAAAGGCTGTGTGTGTAGGTTTAGGAAATGGGAGATAGAAAGAGAGCTGTGTTCATCGTCCGCTGTGTATCTTTAGCCACTGGAGTCACTGTGGGGTGGTGGTGTGTGTGTCTAGTATTACGTAGCAGGTTACTGTGCAGGTATTGGTGCTTGCCTTCAGCCTTTGTATGTGCATGGATTATGGAGGTGATATAAGGTATCACAAATGACTGTTTTTTTTTTTCGGAGTTTAGCTACCCCTCCATGAGAGAATGAACAGATACCACCAAATGAGGTTGGAGGTAGGAGGAGATAGTGTGTGCATGCGTGAGTGTGTACTGAATAGTTGCGTGTGCATAAGTGTGTATCCGGGGGTGCTGCACATGCAAGTATGTGTTTCCCCATGGGTTTGTGTATTTGCAGGTTGTGCTGTTTCCTACTTCCTGCCTATTGCTTCATCTAAAGGCTCCCAGGAGGTGAGCACATGGCAAATGTTTGGAACTGGGGGCCTGTCCATCTACTTACAAAGCAAACCAGAGTCCAGCCTGCTTGAGGAACTATAGCTTAGTTGAAGGAATTGTCTCCATCCTCTCTTCTTTCCGTCTCCCTCTTGACCCATTTGGTGAGCTCGAAGGCCAAGCCCAGGCAGGGCCCTAATAGGTGAGGTCTGTCTGTCTGAAGGATGTGGCATGGTCTAGGTCTGGGCCCACTGTGGCCCACTGAATTTGGACTCTCTTCAAGATGGCCACTGGTGTGGCCATCCAGCCTGGGGGCCCTTGGCCTCATCCAGATGTTAAGAAGACATTTGTCCTAGAACCAGAATCAGAGTCAGAAGAGGCCTCAGAAACTATCCAGCCCTCCCCTCTCATTTTTGCAGAAGAGGCAGTAGGGACTCAGAGAGGTTAAGTGAATAGGAGGAAAGTCACACAGTGCTGTGTGGCAGAATTTTGTTTGCCCACTCTGTGTCCTGGTGTCTTTTCACCCCTGGGAGTGTCAGGGGCTGTGGGTGGTTGGGTTCTGTGTGCAGAGGCTTTAGATGTGAGTTGTAGGAGACTGTGTGTGTCCCTGGATTGCTAAGTGCCTATGTGTGTCAGTGTGTCACTGAGCATGAGTGTGTCTCTAGTGAGCCCTGTGAGACAGTTAGTGGTGTGAGTGTGTCTCCATCTGTCTCTGAGATGCAATGGAATGCAGTGGGGGAGCCTCTCTGGGGAAGTTGGGAAGCCTGACTGCCACTCCTGGCTGTGCCTCAGATTCTCTGTGTGACCTTGAGTGTGGTCAATTCCCTGTCCTGGGCCTTGGTTTCCTGAAATGTTACTTGAGGGTTGGGTGTGATGGGTACTGGCTGGCTGTGTGTGAGGTTCTGACTCAGGGAGCAGCTCTGTCTTTGCCTCATCCCCAACATAGTGCTGTTTCTTGAGACTTGGGCCTTTTACATTGGGTGACTCATGTCAGCGCCTGGGTGGGCTTGGACTCCACATGCCCCTTGGAGCCCCTGTTCATGGTACCTTTGCTAACAGCCCTCCTTTTTCTTTTCTCTTTGCCTCCCCCTTCTCCAAATCTCACTGGCTGCAGAGGAGCACCCCATGGAAGGTGAGTGAAGCCTCTTGGTCACTGGGGTAGTGGATCTGGTGCCATGGGATCCTACGTGAGGGGCTGTCGTTGGCTACCAGAGGACTCCCTTTCCTGCCATGTTAGGGCTCCTCTGGAGAAGGATGTCTGGGGTCCTCCCTTGGCTGCCTCGCTCTGCTCTCTTGCATCCCCTCTTCATGGGTTTCGAGGGGTGGGAGGCTGCTGATTGGCCTTTCTTCTTCCTTTTCCTCTCCAGGCTAGAGAGAGAAAGGGAAACTTAGGGAAGAGATGAGCAATGGGGGTGGAGGGACGGGGCTGACAGGATTCTGAAGTGCCCAGAAGTGAGTGGGTAGACACTGTTTAGCCCAGCCCAAGTTAGGAAGCTTAGAAAAGCAACTTTGCCATATACTGGGGCAGGGTGGGATGGGCCTGTTGCCCCAGAAACCTGTGGTTGGGAAGAATCTGCCCTGGAGTCTGGTGCCACTGCTGCAGGGCTCAGGGGACTGGAGTGGAGTGCACCGGCAGAGTAGGGGGTCTGGGGTGTGTGGTGGGGGCAGCTTCTCTGCCCCACTGTGACCAACACTTGACACTTGTGGTAGGCCCCTAGCCACTGTACTACAGGTTGCTAGGTAGGGGTGGTCCACTTCTTCCTTCATCCAGGTCAGAGGGCAAGGATGGGGTGTATGCCTCTCTCTGAGGTTTCTATATCTGTTCTTTCTCTATCTCCTGTTTTGTTGGCCTCTTCTCCCTCTCCAGTTTTTGTCATTACCTCCTTTTCTCCAAGACCCTGTCCCTGGACCATGTGCCTCTTCTTCCCCAGATTATCTCTGGGTTTCTGTCATTCTCTGACCCTTTCTCTCGCAATTTGGCTTTCCCTGTTTCTTTTCCTCCTCTGGGATGGACTGAGAGCAGGAAGAAGGTAGTTCTGGCTTGAAGGCTGTGTTGAAGATGAGCTCACATAGCCACCATGAAGAAGGCAGCAAAGCAAGCATGAGGTGGCATCCCAGTCCCTTCTCCTGGGAAAGTGGAGTGGGAGGGTAGGTCCTCCCTGTGGAGGAGCAGAGGAATGTGCCAGGGATATAGTAGTCCTGGGAAAGAAAGGCAGCAAGAGCCTCTTGGCCTCAGTGTGGGGCTGGAACCCATTTTTTCTTGTGATGTCCATGGTCTGACTTGTCTCTTTTGGATGTCTCTTCTCCTTGGGGGTCCTCAGGTCCTCTGGGCCCAGCAGACAGGCACGTGTGTGTGTGTGTGTGTGTGTGTGTGTGTGTGTCTGCATCTGCATGCACATACATTCATACAGCTCTTCTGCTGATCTATATGTCTCTGTGCACAACTATGGATATATGCCATGTACATGTCACATGGTTTTGTGTCTGAGTGCGTGGGTGTGCTGTGAGCCTCTATCGATGCATATGTGGTATGCTCACATTTCTGCTTGCCTGTGTAGAACATCAGCATCTTTGTGTGTCTGCATCTGTGTTTGCGTCTCCGTATGTCAGTGTTTACCTCTGTGTGTGTCAGAGAGAGAGAGAGAGTCTGCGTGTCTGGGTGGACGCAGGCTTCTGAAGGCTGGAGATAAGATTTAGTGCTGATGTGACTTTTACTTGCTCTTGATGTCATGTCTCCTCCAGAACAAAGGGAGAGACGGAGGGAGGAAAAGAGAAAGGGAAAAAAGGGTGGAGTGGAAAAAAAAAAGGGAGGAGAGAGATGGAGGAAGGAGAGAGGGTAAGTGAAGGGGTGGAAAGAGAAAGCCTCAAGTCTGAAGCTAGAGAGAGGGGCAGGAAGTGGGAACAGCTTGGCCAAGAGAAGAAAGCCAGAGGGGCACTTGGGAAGAAGGATTCTGGCAGGAGTAGGGCAGAAGAAAGGGGCTGATAGACAGGGACAAGAAGAGAAGCCGGGCTTTGGGGACCCGTGGGGAAGGAGGCCTGCGGATGCCACCTTGCCATTTCTTTGGGTCACGTGATAGTCTGCTGGTTTAGATGTGGCACTGTGTGTGCCTGCATGTAAGTGGCTGTGCAGGGCTGTGTATCGGAGGCTGTATGTGTGTGTGTATGTGTGTATACACACCTAGGAGTCTGATGTATCTCTGTATCACTCCGTGACATGTCTGTGTGCCTGCTTGTTTTGTCACCTATCACCATCTTTCTTCTTCCAGTGGTGGTTCTCTCGGGGGTTTCAGTAGGAGAGTTAGGGGATGAGACTGAAGGTGGGGAGGCGGGTTTAGCAGGTGTTGGTTCCATGTGGGTGGGTGGGGGGCCTCCTCTGTGGCACTGTGCTCTAACCCTGCAGCTCCCCTTACATCTCTAAGGAGTCCTCTGTGCCTTCACCCTCTTTCCACCTGCTACTGTGCCCGCGGCCTAGCTTTCTACAGGAACCCTGAGATCCTGCTCTACAGCCCCTGCTGAGCACCTCCTTTTTCCTCCCAGCCTCTTGTGGCAGGGCGAAGAGACCCAGAAGCAGCCAGATAAAGTGCCCTAGGAAGGGACCCTTGGCTCTGCCATCCATCACTGCCAGTCTCTACTCCAGCGGTGGGAGGAGGGGCTGATGCCACAGGTGGATATGGGGAAGTGAATACCCCAGTGAGGCTGGGGGCCAGGAGGAGGGAGCAGAGATTTCAGATTAGCAGCAGGGAGACTGACTTTGGGGAGAAAACCCTCGGGCCAGCTGGGGCTGAGCCAGGGGTAGACAGGAAGGGAACCAGCCTCCCCTTCACCAAGATGGCTGGTGCTGTCACGCTTGAGGGAGCTGAGCAGCTGGTTGCCGTGGTGACAGAGGGAGACTGCCGAATGCTAATGAGGCTGGCGAGGAGCTGGGCAATGGAAGGGTCTGGGAGAGGGAGATGTGGCTTCCCCTAGCAGCAGTCAGGCCTGTGGGAGACAGAGGGTGGGTTCACAGGGCAGCTGGCTCCTGGGCTGGGGGTGGGCAGAGGCCTGGATTCTCAAGGGTGGGAGCCTGAGAGCAAGGCTGCTTCTGACAGGGAGAGTCAGATGTGGGTTGAGGGCTCTCGGTCTGGGTCCTGAATTTGGGGGGTTTGGAAGGAGATGCTGGTAGTTCTTGGGGAAAGAGTTGGTGGCAGAGTAGAAAGGTATTCAAGAGTAAGGAATGAGGAGACTCGGTTCAAATGCTTGGGTCCTTACCTGTGTCTTGGATAAAAACCTACGTCCTCCCAAGAGCTGTTCTGTCCTGAGGCTGCCCTTAGCAGCTATGGCCTTCTCCCCTAAGTGGCCTCAAGACTCAGAGGTGGGGAGAAACCAATGCCAACTCAGAGAGATGGGGCAAAGAGGGCAGCGTGAACCATCTGGCCAAGGGGTCCAGGCCTTCGGCCCCTGGCCATGTGCTTCCTGGCTTCCTTGCTGTCTTTCCTCCTGGAGCCCAGGCATCCCGGCCCAGCCAGCTTTGTTTCAGAGATACTTGTAACTCTTTAATCTTGCTACTTCCATCCTGGCCCCAGCTTTCTATCCCTAGGGTCAACGTCTCATTGCCATAGCAGTGGGGCTTGTTTCCAAGGGTGACAGTGGCACCACAGGGCTGTTGCCTTTCCTACCCTCTTGGCCAGACACCACAGGGGAGTGAGTGGGATTGGGGGGGGCTCTGAGGTTTGGTGGAGCTGGCTGGCCATCTCAGGGAGCCCTGGGGTCTCAGCCCAGCTGTGGGCCTGGTGGTACCAGCCTCTCTAGGAGAGAGCTTTCCATGGCTGGTGCCCTTTGGGGACTGGGGTACTGATCCATTGGTCCAGGTTCCTTCCCAATAAGGCTGGGGAGGGGTACTTCGGGTTAGGGCTGACAAGGCCCTCTCAAGGGGCCAGTGTAATCTCGGATGGAAATCCTAGCTGATCTTCCTCTCAGTCCATTTTCTCTTTTCAAAATCCAGATTTTGGGTCATTTGAGAGAGGTTTTGACCAGAGAATGGGGGGGTCTGTTATTTATTTATTTATTTATTGAGACGGAGTCTTACTCTTGTTGCCCAGGCTGAAGTGCAGTGGCACGATCTCCGCTGACTGCAACCTCCGCCTACGGGATTCAAGTGATTCTCCTGCCTCTTGAGTAGCTGGGATTACAGGTGCCCCCACCACGCCCAGCTAATTTTTGTATTTTTAGTAGAGATGGGGTTTCGCCATGTTGGCCAGGTTGGTCTCGAACTCCTGACCTCGTGATCCGCTCACCTCGGCCTCCCAAAGTGCTGGGATTACAGGCATGAGCCACCGTTCCTGGCTAGGGGGGGCTGTCATTTATGAATGAAGTCTTTGGACCTCTTGGAGAGCTGGACCTCCTCCAGTGGGCCTTGGCTGTCCTCTTTGGACCTTGCTGTTTGAGAGCTCTGACCCCAGTCTCTCAGTGTCTCCCTAGATTCTACCTCCTCCTACCTGTTTCCTCCTTAACTTTGTCCTCTCGAGCCCCAGTTTTCTCTTAGAACCCAGGTGTGCAGGTTCCCTACTATCCATACAGAGTTTATTGAGAAGGGTAGCCGGGAGGCTTAGAACCCAACAGATGTCCTTCCAAACCCTGCTTTAGAGGGGGATCTTTTTAGGCCCAGGTTCTTTGTACCCGCCCCATCTTTTCCCCTTTTCTGTCAGCATCCTAGGGGTAACCGGGATTAGGGGTGTTGGAGGGTTGGAGGCCCCCTTGCCTGCTCAATCCCATGCTAACAGGACACTCTCTCTCTCTCCAGGTGGCTTTGATTTTTGTGTCGTGTTTTATTTTTTCCTCCATCTGAATCGTTTTTTCTCGTTGACCGTTTTTTTTTCTCTCCGCCTCCCCGGAAAAAAAAAAAAAAAGAAAAAAAGAAAAAGGAAAAAGCAACCCTCCCAGCCTAATGCTTCTCCTCCTTTTCCTTTTTTTTTCCGGCAAGAAGAAAAAAAAGAAACCAAAATCTCCTCTCCCCCATGCAGCGACTCCCTGCCCCCTCCTTCCTCTGGTTCTGCCTGTACCCCTTTCACCCTCTCTGATGCCCCTAATCTCTCTTTCTTTCTTCCCCTGTTGTGCCCTCCACCCTCTGTTTCGGCATCGGGCCCCTCTCCTCAGCTCCTGGGCTGGGGCTCCCCCCGATGTCTGTCACAAGTTAAAAAGGGTTTTTAAATTGTGGCAGCAAAAGCTTTTTTCTCCCTTCTCTCTGGCTGATTTTGATGACTCTTGTTTTCTTTGTTTCTTTCCCCTTTTCTTTCTTTTTTCTTCTTTTTTTTCTTTCTTTCTTTCTCTCCTTCCCCTTTCCAAGGTCCGGCTCACCTGACGTTAAACAGCGAAGGTATGGTTTGAAGTTTTGGTTTGGTTTGGATTGGATTGGATTGCCCCCAACCTGCGCCTGGATTTTCTGTTCTTCTCCCTATCCCTCCCCTGTTCCCTTCCCCTCCTCCACCTGTCCTGACACCTTCTTCCTTCCCTACCCCCTTCCTTTGCCATTTCTTAATTTTATCTGGGGGGTGCTGGGGTGGGGGTGGGGACTTGCCCTTGTCTGTGCATTCCCCTCTTCCTTGCCCACCCTGAAGCACTACATCCGCCCACATCTCACCTTGGTTTCTGACATCAAGAGATGTTTGAACTCCTGCCGTTGTCTCCAGTCACCCTTTTTTTGTGTTTTCCTGGTATCGTATCTTGCTTTTTTTTCTTTCTCATGGTGGTGTTTGATTTTCTTCCACTCATTCTGATCATTCTTTCTTTTCTTTGGACCTAAGTAATAAGAGAAAAGCATGGGCTGGAGAAAGAGGGTCTTAGGCAGTCTCATCACCCTCACCCTGCTACTGTGGGATGCCCCCATCTATGACAAGAGGGGAAATGGGAGGAGAGGTGCAGGGCCTCTCCTTTTCCACAGTGCGCACTCCCAACCCCCTGCCCACCCGCACACCTTCACCCTTGTATTTTTTTAATGTCTCTTAACCCTATTTGACAGATGATGACCAGAGAGATGAAGTCACTTGTTAGTGATTCCACTGACCTAATTGGTGAATTGAGAGCCCTGGTATTAAGCAAACCTGGAGACAGAACCCAGGAGTCCTGTCTGAGCTCCTCCAGCTCTGGCCTCCTCCAGTGTTTCGCTGTCACTGATTATCTCTGAGCTCAAGGTTTTGGCCTTCCAGATCCTTTGGCACTGTTGGACCTGCCCAATTCAGCTCTCTGTTGGGGGATCATCTTACAGAGGAACAGAGTGGGGTCCTTAGACTGTAGGTAGGACCAAGATTGGGCTGCAGGAGAAACTTGCATAGATATGAAATTTGGGATGGATTCAGGTATGGGAGGTAGAGGCCTTGGAGTCTTGCAGGGATGTGAAATTATGGCAAGAAGTGTATGGAAAGAGGAAGTCCCAATTGGGGAGTCATGAGTAGGAGCCCTGGTTGGCTCGCTCACGTCCTTCTTGCCTCTCAGTGCCTGGTTCTGTGGGTGCTGGCTGTGGCTCCCCTTTGTCATAAGTGAAGGTCCTCCCAGAGGACCTCAGCAAGCCCCCCCCTGGAATGTTTCCACAGCTCAAGTATTATTCTAGTTCACGTTTTGGGATTTGCAATTAAGTTTGGAGTAAGAGCCCATATAGGGACTTTCCCCCTTCATCACTGAGTTTTCTCATCCTGAAGCCATCCTGTGGATCTGGCAGTAGGGCTGGGTGTCTGGAAGCCAGGTGCTGAGTGTGTAGGTTCACTGGCAGGGAGAGAGGTGGGCTGAAGAGTTCAAGCTGGCCTGGAACCCAGACATGGTAACATGTGCCTGCCAGGGCCTTTGGACTGGAGACCTAGGTGCTACTGATGAGTGGGGTGGTGAGGAGTGAGAAATAACTCCTGAGAAAGGACTTGCCCACATCCAGGCTGAGCTGCAGGCAGGATCTCCCTTATAGGCACAATGGTGGGATGAAGAACAGACAGGAATTACAGGAAGCCCTTGGAAATCTCTGGGAAGCTCCAGGGTCTAACTGGCAAAGGAGTGGACAGGGGAGAGCTTTTGAGCACTCACTATGGTGAATGAAGCAGGTGTAGACAGACTCAAGGTCTAGTGAGAGCCTCAAGGACAGGAAAGAACAGAAGAAGAGCTTGGGTGTAAATCTGGAGGAGGGGCACCTGTGTCAGGCTTTTGAATGAGTTGGGGAGGGTGAGCTGGATCCAGCACAAAGGGTGTGAGCAAAGATGCAGAGTTGTGGGGAGAATGTGCCTCATGGAGGAGGCCAGGAGAATGAGCGAGAAGTTAGAAGGGAGTGCTGGGGGCCTTCAGTGCTAAGGGCTGGCCTATTTGCCTGCTGTGGGGAAGAGGGGATGCCGCACTAGCAGTGAGGCCTCTGCTCCTCTGCTCAGTCTCCCTACCCCAGGCAAAGAGTGGAAGTCAGTGATCATGAGTCTGATGGGGTCTGTGGGGCTGATCATCCTTGGTTTGTCAAGTGGCTCCTTCCCTAGAGGTCTTGAAGGCAAGGGGGTCCCCAGAAAAGCCTCTCCTTCCCTATACCTGCAAGCAGCACCTCCACCCTGGAGAGGGCCCTTCATCCCCTCAAGGCTGGGGAGGGACTGGCTCGGTAGCCCCTGTGCCTGACTCCCCAATTCTGCTTCTCCAGTAGGGTCCTTACTGTTCTCCGAGGGGGGGGGCCGGGAGAGGAGGAGCCGCTGATGTGCACCAGCCAACAAAAGGTCAGTGACCCCAATGGTCCCCAGAGAGTCCAGCCCTCATCCTGCGGCAGGCTAACTGTGCTTCCTGGGGGGAAGCCAAGTCAACACAGGCACATCCCCTTGTCCTCTCTGAGGCCTGTGGGAACTGATGGGCCTGCTCCCCGAGTGCCAGTCCAAAGGCCCTATTAGTTGCCTTGGTGTGAAGGGCCACAAACCTCCATTTCTTTTGCAAAACCCAGTTGTTCTGATGACCTCTTTCTAGAACACAGGTTATCTTTTTTTGTGGCGGTTGTTCAGACCGACCCCTAGGAATTATCTGTTTCTTTGGTAAGGCAACCAGGCAGCAGGGCAACACCCATGTAACCATCAAATTCTGGAAGCCTGCCAGGTGCCCAGTCCAGGGAGATTCTGGTTGGGGGTTGTGGCCAGCAAGGGGCCTTAAAGCCCACTTTACGGCTCTAGCTCCTTTTTCTGTATTGAGGCCTCCTCCCTTAAAATAATCTCTTTCCTATGAAGTTTACAAGCCACTATAACAAGTCCTCAAGGAAATCCAGTGGGTGCCAAGCACTGGGGCTATGGAGTCCCATTTCCATTCTTTAGTCTAATCTTCTGTTTGTCTGGATTTCTGCCATCCTTGTCCCTTCCCCAATGACGTGGTGTGTCTCTTTCATCTGACTCTGAGAAAGCAGCGAGGCCATCCACACTGGAAGTCTCCTTGAACACCCCAGGAGAACCTGGACACTTCTGGTGTTTCCACACTTCCATTAGAAGGCTCATCACACTGTATAGTAACTGTCACTTTACCTGTTTGCTTCCCCAACTATACCAAGCTCCTTGAGGCCAGGGATTGGATATTTCTGTTCCTGCGCCCTCAATGCTTTACACAGCTCTTGGCACATAAGTAGCCATGTGGTCAGCAAATTTATTTTAAATGAGCCAATGGGCTCCATTCCCAAGAGGCTGATTGATGTTTTAACAAATAACTACAATAAAGTGTGGTCCATGCAAAGTATATGAAAAGTGCACACTCTTTTCAGAGGAGTTAATTTGTTCATTGAGGTCAGGCACAGTGGCTCATGCCTATAATCCCAGCACTTTGAGAAGCCAAGGTGGGAGGATCACTTGGGGCCAGGAGTTTAAGACTAGCCTGGGCAACATGGTGAGACTCCATCTCTACCAAAAAAAAAAAAAGAAAAAAAAAATCCTTGAGAAAGAGAAAGACAGGGAAAGAGGCAGCACACTCGCAGAAAGTTACCAACTGGCATGGGTCGTTTATTTGTGGGGTGCTTTATGGTTGAGGAAGCTGGACCCTACCTTTCTCTTTCTGAGATGCCCACAGCAGCCTGTGCAGTTCCTGATTATCAGCTCCATTTTCCAGAGGGGGAAGCTGGGACTTAGAGCCCAGCTTTGTGACCAGCCAAGGTCACAGAACTGGTGGTGGAGCCAGTGCTAGCGCCCAGGTCTTCTTTCTCACATCGCATTTCCTCTCCAGGGAGCAGTACAAGATGTTACTAGGCAGTAAGTGCCAAGAGAGCAGAACAGACAGCTGTAGCGCTCCAGAGTAGGGCGGGCGGAGAAGGGCGCTGGAGACCTTCCCAGAGGAGGTCTGGGAGCTGGGCCTGGAAAGGAGGCAGCTGCTCAGTCCCTCATGCACGATACTCAGAAATGCAGGACCACAACTAGCCTCTAGCCACATACATCTTCACTGGGGACACTTGTAGGGCTACAGACTACCCAACTGTGGGAGGAAACGAGCATCAGCTATTACCCCCATTCCTGGGTCTGGAGCAATTACGGGCGGTAACTGTGCAAGCACTGCTGGGAGTTGTAGTTCTCAGTCTCTCCAACACGGCGAGCTGGGGGAGAGCGCCCCCTGGTGCTTCAGGGCTTGTTCATCCCGGATCTGGGTTGTGCTCTTCTGAGCCCCTCGGTGGCCCCCACAGGCTCACCCCAGTAGAATCCCTCCACCAGTCCCTTGAAGTCCTGCCCAGACCTCCCCGATTCAGGTTTCTCCTCACCATCTTTGGGTTTTCTTTCCACATTTGCTCATCTCTTTTCCGTCCCTCTCCTCAAAGGCTTTCAGGCTCTCTGGTTGCTTCTTGGGCCTCTTGGTGTCTCTGGGCCCACCCAGGACTCTGGTGGCAAAGGGACTGGAGCCCGTGGAGGTGCAGGCTCTGGAGTAGCTAGTGTTGCCGCCCACCCTAAGGAGACCAGAGGCAGAGCTGAGGAGTCGAGGAATGGCCTCGTTTCTCAAGTTGGCCTTGGCAGCCACAGTCCAGCCCCAGGCTTGCCTCTCTTCTTTTTGCTGGCCTCTTTTGTTCTGTCCTAATCACTTTTTCACGTGGCTGCCTTATTCTCTTTCTTTCTGTTTGACTCTCTCTTTAATGATATTTTCTTTGACTGCAGTGAAGGTGAGGGAATGGGAGGAGTGGCTTCTGGGAGGGAAGAGCACATGTGGCAAAACCAAGGTCAAACACATTCCTTTTTCTGGTCCTTGAGCCCCCTGGTTCTCCCAGTGCCTGGGCAGCAGGCTTGGTTGCTATGGAGACACAAGGCCCTGGAAAGCCTTGGCTTCTGTTCCCTAGAGGTCCCCATTTCCTTTCCTTGCTGGCCCTCTTCCCATCTCCTGTCCCTGTCCCTGCAGGGCTTGCTCCTTTTCTTTATCCAGATAGCTGCACTCATCCCCTCTTGCTCCCTCACAGCCCTGAGCCATCTTCATTTCTTGTCTGTCTCTGCGATGGGTCACCTTACTCCTGCTCTGCCCTGCCTCCCACCTCCTTGCCACTCTTCCCTGCCTTTCTCTCTTGTCTCTGCTGGGGTCCTCACTTTGCTTTCTTGCCCTCTCTGCTGGTACCCTAAAGTAGACAGAGGAAGGGATTCAGACTGTCCCGATGTTGCCCAGGCCCCCACCAGCCTTGCTGCCCTGTGGCCTCAGGAAACCGGGCCTTGCCAGCTGCAGCGAGTACTGTGCCAGGCTCTGGGGCAGCAGCTGGTGCCTTGGCATCCGGAGGTAGTGAGGACAGAGGCTGTGGGCAGCCTGCCCAGAGAGAGAGATGCAGGCTGTGTGTGGAGGGGAGGGGATCTGCAGAATCAGCACTTGGAGACCCCTCCCCACCCCACTGCCTCAACACATAGCACAGCTACTGAGCCCTGCCCCCAAGGGGAAGACAAGTGGCTCCTGGTGGCCCTGCATGCCCCCTGGCATTGTGCCTGTTCTTGCCTGGGCCTTGGGAGCATCTACTGGGAATTCTGCATTTAGATAGTTTGGTCTCTTCATAAAGACCCTCATGGCCAGTCTTGTATGCCCTGCACTTGTCCTGTGAGGTAGGCAGGGCCAGCTCTGTGTCACTGCTTAGTGGCCAAAAGTGAGCCACTGGTAGAACCCAGGTCTTCTGGTTTGTTTCTGCTTGCACTCTGGCTTGTGCCAGTGTTGGACAGACACCCCAACTTCCTGGTACTACTGAGTCATTGTCTTCTCACTTGTCACCAACTTACAGAATGCTGACAATCCCTCAGTCTCTCCCAGTAGTTTTTGCTTCAGTTTAAAAAGTGCCAGTGGAAGGGCCGTGTGCCAGGTGCTTATGGACATACATGAACGCACACAGACATGGGCACGCACAAAGCCCAGGCCTGTCCTTGCCCTGTCACTTTCTGGGCACACACAGGTCACATCCAGGCACTCTGTGCTCTCCACTTTGGGCCTGTCTGCACTGTCCTTGGGTTGGAGTAGAGAGCTGGGGGTGGAGATGATAGCTGGCGCGGTGGCCACCCATGTGAGCTCTGCTTGGTGGCTTGTTGCTCTCTAGTGCATATCCCTGTCACCTGCATTGTCTTCCTGTGTGTCTTCCTGATCCTCCCCCCATCACCCCACCTCCCATGCTCCTCATCTGTGCCCTGATGCACAACAGGCCTATTGGTCCATCCCATATGGTGAGGCTGAAACTGTCTCCAGGCACTGAGATTGGGCATCACTGGAGAAGGGGCAGGAAGGGAGGTGGGCTGTGAGTAGGAGACCCTTGTGGACCCTGCCATAGGGGAGGAGCTCCCAGGGAGAAGTAAGGCAGAACCTCTTGTGTCCCTTCCATATCCCTTTGTTAAGGGGAGTGGCCGATGGCAAGGTTGGTGGGGAGGAGATGGTGAGCACCCTCCACTCTGCTGGGTCCTTTGGCAGAGTAATTGTCAACTGTCAGTATGGGAGCCTCTTAGCAGCCTCCTAGTTTAGAAATGGACATGGGGGACATTGACTTTTGACTGCAGAGACGGCAGGGTCCTGAGAGGATGGTTGACAGGCTGAGGGAGGGAAAGGGGCCTAAAGCTACAGGTTGGGACCTCTGGGCTCCTGGTGCCCAGGACCAGTGCCTGGGTTGCTGGAGGGGAGAGGGAAGCTCTGGTGTACCCCACCCCACTCAGCCTTTTCCTGTTTCCCCACACCATGACATCCAGGCAAGGAGGAGTTTGTGGCGACCTTCAAAGGCAATGAGTTCTTTTGCTACGACCTGTCACACAACCCTATCCAGAGCAGCACTGACGAGATCACGCTGGCCTTCCGCACCCTGCAGCGCAATGGCCTGATGCTGCACACAGGCAAGTCGGCCGACTACGTCAACCTGTCCCTCAAGTCTGGGGCTGTCTGGCTGGTCATCAACCTAGGCTCAGGTGCCTTCGAGGCCCTTGTGGAACCCGTCAATGGCAAGTTCAACGACAACGCCTGGCATGACGTCCGGGTCACCCGAAACCTGCGCCAGGTAGGGGGAGTGAGAGGAAGGCCAGGGATTAGCTATACCTGGGGCAGAATGGGGATTGGGAGAGGGGGCTGCTGGGAGGTTGTGGTGGAGGGATCAGGGCTGGGCAGTGAGGTGGGATCTGGAGAAGAACAGGGCTTGGGGCTGCGAAGGTCCCAACATAAGGCTGCAGTGGCTGGCAGGCTTCAGGGACCAGGGAGCTAAGCTAGAAGGAGGCTCCAGAGCTTCTCCTGGGCAGGAGGCTGAGGGCAGGGGAAGGACTGGGTTCAGATTGTTGGGAGAAGCTGGTATCTCAAGGGTTGGGGCTAAGAAAACAGGGACTTAGCAGAAGGGCAATTCAGGAGATGGGAGGAGTGAGCCAGTGCCTGAATGGGTGTGCCTGGGTGCCAGGGGGTGAGGAGCAGGCTTTGGCCTGATAGATGAAGGTGTACCAACACTAGGGCAGCAAGGCACAAAGGCAAGCCTGAGTTATGTGTGGGGGCAGGATGTGTTTTGCCCTCAGCCAAGGCTTTTTTAGGGCAGAGGCAGGGATGGAGTCAGTGAGGTGGTGGCACAGCAGGTGGGTGACAGAGAGCAGGACCAGAGAGGGAGCTTGGCCCTTTGTCTCCTCTGGGCAGGACACGCCCTTCTTTTCTTTCTCTTTCTTTCAAAGGAGCCAGGCCCTCCCAACATCCATGGCTTGCTTTCTGCCTCCCCTGGCTCCTGGGCAAGCCCATGCAGGTGCTCAGAGACCTTCCTTCATTGGCTCCTGCAGACAAGACAGAACTCTTCTCTGCAGTGTCCCCTCAGCTCCCGTTCCCAGATGCCCCCACTGGACATGTCCTCTTAGGAATAGTCCTCTTCACCTTTCCCAAGGCCCAGGGTGGCTAGTGTAGGTGAAGCTGTCTCTGGCCAGTCTCTTTCTAGTTACCTTCTCTGAACTTCCTGGTTCTAGCAGTGTGGTGGCTAACCTTCCTTGTCTCTCCTCCTGTCATCCTCCTTCTCCTCCCCTTCCTCCCACTGAAAGGCTCATCAGCAGGTTCAGGATCTTGGCTGAGCTTGCTCTTCTTACCTATTCTGATTTTACACCATCGATGATGATCTGGTGGGGATGCCTCCTCATTAATACCACTCCTCCTTGCTGGGAGAATGCAGTGACTAATCCTGCTGCTCTTCCTCAGGCCTGTGCTACTTGTTGCAGCTGGGCTCCTACTAACATGCCTATTCTTAGCAGCCCCCGTGTTTCAAAGAGTGACATGTTTGGTGGAGTCACTTCTCAATGCAGTGCACCTCTTCTTGTCAAATCATCCCTTTACCCAATCAGAGGGCTGTCCCGAGTTGTCATTACTGAGTGCACCTGAGTGTGTCATGTGCATTTGTGACAGTTTCAGGTGTCACACACATTTTATTAGGGGGGTGTATGGAGGAGTTACCTTTGGTGCGTCCTGCTCACTTTGCTCTCCCTAGGACCAGCACTGTCACCTGAAACTGACTTCAGCAAGGTGCTCCAAGTTCAGAGTCCCTATCCATGCATCATATGACCAAAAAATATATGGTGGATCCATAGTGGAAACAAAGGGGGAAAAAAAGACATGGTCCCTGCCCTTCTAGGACTTCAGCTCTTGAGAGACAGGATGAGTCTGTTAAAAGTGAATAGAGCAAGGCCATGCCAGTGCCAAGCAAGCATCAGAAACCTTAAACACCCTAGGACTTGAGTGATACCCAAGATGAGGGAGAGGTCTGTGGCTGGAGGAGCCACACAGAGGAGACACCTGGCCTCAGCAGTGCTGAGTGTAGACAGTGACCCTCAGCTCTTCTTCCTTAGGTTCCCGGAGTCGAGAGTCCAAGCTGGTAACTGATGGAAACCAATTCACCCGATTGTTCTACCAGAAGGCTCAGAGCAGAGGCAGGTCATGTTGACCCTAAAGCAAATCCTGAGGCTCATAGAAGTGTCTGCTTAAAGACTTTGATTGAGCACTCTTTTTATAAAGGGCTTCTGGGGGAATTTGTTGACTCTAGTCCACACCCATAAATGTGAGGTGTAGGAGCTGCAGACAAGCAGCCCTCTTTTGGTCATCATGGCAACTAGGGGAAGGTCAGCCTCAGAGCCATGCTTTGGCTCCACTGCCCTCGCTTAAGGCCTGGACTGTGGCCAAGTTCATCCTTACCAGGCCCTTCACGGGCCTGTTTTTCATGGCCTCAAAGAGTAATTTATTGGATCCTATGTCCCTAGAGCACTGTTTCCCAATCACTCAATCGTGTTGTGGTCCCAAGGAGACATTTGGCAACATCTGGAGATGTTTTGGGTTGTTATAACTTGGGGATACCACTGTCATCCTGTGGGTAGAGGCCAGGACAATGCTAAACACATTACAGTTCACAGGACAGCCCTCATAATAAAGAATTATCTAACCCCAAATGTCAGTAGTGCCAATATAGAGAAGCCCTACTCAACCACATTTTCTTTCCCTCCCTCCCTCCCTCCCTCCCTCCCTTCCTTCCTTCCTTTCTTTCCTTTCTTCTCTTTTTTTTGAGATGGAGTCTCACTTTGTTGTCCAGGCTGGAGTACAATGGCACCATCTTGGCTCACTCCAACCTCCATCTCCCGGGTTCAAGTGATTTTTCTGCCTCAGCCACCCGAGTAGCTGGGATTAGGTGCCTGCCACCACGCCTGACTAATTTTTGTATTTTTAGTGGAGATGGGGTTTCACCATGTTGGCCAGGCTGGTCTTGAACTCCTGACCTCAAACGATTCTCCCACTTTGGCCTCCCAAAGTGTTGGGATTACAGGCATGAACCACTGAGTCCGGCCTCAACCAAGTTTCTATGGTGTCTGGATGATATCCTGGGATTGGGACAACACTTATGTGATAAGAAGGTGTGATGATGGGTTGAGTGGTTTGAATCAATATTCTGTCTCCCCCAGGTTTTGAGCCAGGAGCAAGGACAGGGAGAAATGACATCTGTCTTCAGCCTTACAGGATAGAGTGCCAGGATCTGAGAACAATGTGGCTTCCAGGTTATTTTTCTCATTTGGTTAGAATGGCCAGGGAGATGGCCTTCTGGGGAGGACCTGCTCGAGAACCAGCACTGAGGGGTCTCCATTCCCTTTGCTTCTGCAGCCATGGGAGTGGGTCAAAGGCCAGCTCCAAAGACCAGAAGGAGGCAGAATTTCCCCTTCTTTTTTCCTGGACTTGGTAATTATCCCTGGAATCATCTAGAGGCTCTCAGAACATAGCAGTTAGGACCAGGGGCAACTGATAAGACAGTGTTTTGCTCTCTCTTCTCTCGCCTTTTCAAATCCAGCCCTTGAGGTCACTGTGACTGGAGGTGTCTCTTGGAGGATCTTGGCAGGAATGATTACCTCTGAGGATTCCCTGAGGCCTATTTTAAGTCCTGGGCCCACTCTCCTCCCATACCCAGTATGCTTCCCAACTGCCTCCCACCATTATGCAAGCAATGTGCAAACCCATTTCCTCATTAGCCAGCACCAAATTTGGAAGACAAGCTGGCTATCAAAATATCACATGGTGCTTCTTCCTGCCTAGCTTGGATAACTCCTCTTCTTGGTGCAGAGGCTTTCAGGAGCTCCTCCAGGTCCCAAAAATGGAGTCCCCAAGGATGCAGTCCCCAAGGATGGAGTCCTTCAAAGATGTAGTCCCCAAGGATGGAGTCCCTCAAAGATGTGGTCCTCAAGGATGGAGTCCCTCAAAGATGTGGTCCCCAAGGATGGAGTCCCTCAAAGATGTGGTCCCCAAGGATGGAGTTCCCAAGGATTCAGTCCCCAAGGATGGAGTCTGCCAAGGATGGAGTCCCCAAGAATGGAGTCCCCCGAGAATGGAGTCCCCAAGGATGGCGTCCACAGTGATGGAGTCCCCCAAGGACAGAGTCCCCTAAAGATGCAGTCCCTAAGGATGGACTCTGCCAAGGATAGAATACCCAAAGATGGAATCCCCAATAATGGAGTTCCCAAGGTTGGAGTCCATCAAGGATGCAGCCCTCAAGGATGGAGTCCACAGGCATCCAGTCATCAAGGATGGAGTCCACCAAGGATACCATCCTCAAGGATGGTCTCCAAGAGTGTAGCCCCCACAAGGATGGAGTCCCCAAGGATGGGGTCACTAAGAGTGGAGGCCCCTAGGATTCTAGGGATGCATTCCCTAGGAATGCATTCCCCTAAGGATGGAGTCCCCAGGGGTGGAGTCCATCAGACACTTAGGTTCCCTTCCTCTCCTTCCTGCCCAGGCCTCTCTCCCTCTCTGGCATGGCGTACACACTGTCTCAGGGCCCAGCTGTGCTGTTCTCCATACCCATCCATGCCAACTTTCCTAGCTTTTTCCTTTGTTTTCACAGTTCTCCTACGGACACCACTCATTTGCCCTCCTTTCTGCCTGGTGAAATCCTAGATCTGGGGTTTGAGTCAGAAAGACCACATTCAAATCCCAGCTCTGCCAATAGTTTGAGTGCCTTTAGGCAAGTTATACAACTTCTGTGAGCTTCAGCTCTTCATCAGCAAAGTGAGAATGAGCCTTTTGATGACTAACTGAGGTATTGCCTTAAAACACTCAACACACTGCCTGGCACGAATTAGTTGTGTTTTTTTCCATTCTTCAGGCCCAGCTTAAATGCCACCATCTTCATAAAGCCTCCCTTGATCCATTCCTCCAGCCAGCCTCCCTTCTTGGCTATGTTCTTTGAGCCTTTGGAAACGTGTGTATTTGAGCCTTGTCATCACATTCTGCCTGTGTTGTCAATATTTGCATTCATTCCTTATCTGTACTTCTAGGTGGTAAGCAAATTGGTGGCTTAATACCAGCAAATATTGAGTGTTTGTAGTTGTTTTTCTAGTAGTTTTTTTCTGATCTATTTCGTCTCTTTCTTAATTGGTAAGATTTTGGACATGAGGACCCATGTCCAAAAGTAGCAGTTCTAACTACTTCATATGAGCACTGAACTACTTCTTGTCCTCTTGGGAAAAAACCCTCCAATTCACTTTTTTACTTTTTTTTTTTTTTTTTTTTGAGACGGAGTCTCACTTTGTCTCTCAGGCTGGAGTGCAGTGGCGTGATCTTGGCTTACTGCAATCTCTGCCTCCAAGGTTTGAGTGATTCTTCTGCCTCAGCCTCCTGAGTAGCTGGGATTACAGGCTCCTGCTACCATGCCCAGCTAATTTTTGTATTTTGAGTAGAGACAGGGTTTCACCATGTTGGCCAGGCTGGTCTCGAACTGCTGACCTCAAGTTCAAGTGATCTGTTCACCTCAGTCTCCCAAAGTGCTGGGATTACAGGCCTGAGCCACTGCACCTGACTCTAATTCACTTTACAAGACCAGAACACCTCTCCTGGTCCCTCCTCTAAATTTCCTCAGGACTCTATCTTTTTGTCACAGCACTTCTCAGATTGCACTGTAACGTCTTTCCCCACTAGCCCCTGGCCTCAAGGATCTCATTGCTCTTTACTATCTCACGTAATTTTTATGACAACTCTGTGAGGTGGACATATTATTTCCATTTTACTGATGAGAAAAATAAGACGCAGAAGGTTAAAGAACTTGCTCAAGGTTATCCAGTTAGGAAGTGGTGGAATTGGAAGTCTGACTTCAAAGCCACTCTGTTCCTCTGCCTCCAAGTAAGGGCCTGGTTGTTGTCATTGGTGCAAAATGCAAAGGAAGCTGGAGTTTGTCTTGTGCCTCTGTCATTCTTGGAAGTTCTCAAATGTTGAAGCCATTTCAATCTTCAATGTTCTGCTTGTATCTCTGAAAAATGGGTCCCTCTTACATGCAAGTGGAGTGGGTTCCTCTTCTCTTTGTCCTGAGCTTCTCATGCTCAAGCTCCACAGATTGTCTTCACTCCCGATTTTTGTGATTTGTGTAAATATTCCCTCTCTTGGCTTTCTTGAGGGGGCTGGAGCTACACTAAGATTTCAAGGTAGAGATGAGGTATAGTTTTGTCCCAGGGCTCTCCTTTCTGCCTCATGAAATCCTAGAGCTGGCATTTGAGTCAGAAAGACTTGGTAAAAATGACCACTTGATATGATGCCTGACTTCTCCCCTCTGTGACTTTGATGCCCTTCTCATTCATCATGTGTTGTCATTCTTGTGCTCCCAGGCTCCAGGAGCTCTCTAGCTGTTTCTGTGAGTGGGATAAAGCCTTCATTGCTCATCTATTAGTCTGAAGCCTCGGCTCTCCAGATCTTGGCCATTGGGAAGACCTAGGCTACTTTGTACCCCTTCCGTGTGATGTGTCCCAGGCCACCAGAAATGGGTTCCAGTGGAAGTTCCATTCTAGTATTTCACAACAATTGCCCTTATAAGCATGGTCTTCATTGGACTGGGTCTGGATCCTTAATCCCTAGGTCTAGAGGGGCCCCTTCTCATCTACTCCAACCCCGCTATTTTTCAGAGGAAGCCTGGATCTCTCGACAAATTAGTGGAAGGCGCAAGGCTTTGAACTCACATCCCTTTTTTTCTCACTCCTGATTCTTAATTTGCTGTTCTACTTGTTAAAAATGGAATCTTCTTCATAAAGTTGAAAACTTTTAAATCTTATTTTATTCTCCACAACCAGTTCTAACTCAAAGAGTAGTAGCTGGATTTTTACCTCCAACACCTTTTTCTTCCTGCCTTGTTTGACTAGTGCAGTGATACCCGACAGCACTTACCTTTTTGGGCCTGATTGTTTAGCTGCCCTGAAGCTAATTGTTCCTTGTTCTGACTAGTTGGCCTCTTCATTTCATGACAGTCCTACCAGCCTCCAGTATTAATCCTCTTATTACACGCTATCCCCTGGCTCCCATCACTGCACCTGCAATTAGACTCTTCTCTTGCTATGTAAACTGCTTCTGCATCACTAATAATTAATATTGGTTATTCAGCACATCTTCTGGCTGCTAAATATTGAATTCTGTTATTTTTAATTATATGAGGCTCTTATTCATTATCTTACTGAATTAGTCCTGTGCCCACTGGTTATAACAACTCTCTAACTAATGGATCTGTCCCTAGAATACCTCTCCTCACAATCACACTCTCAGGGGTACAGTTTAGTATTTAACAGGCATCAAGCAATAATGTCCCTCCATCTCTAAGACTCTTAAGTAAAGCTGCCTCAGTGCCTCTGACATCCCCTCTCCAAAGACGGGGGTAATTTAGAAGGTGGTTGTTGCTGCTGTCTTTGGCAGTGAGAAGAGAAAATGAACTTAGAACTATGTGAGAGTGGGGACACTAGAGATTGGGGCAGAAAGAGTGGGCTTATAGCCTAGGGAAAAGTCGGGGATTTTAGAGGTAGGTGGGCATCCATGTTCCTTTTTTTTGGGTGTAGGGGGAGTGAATTTCTGGCACTGGCTATGGGGAGCAGAGACTCAGGGGTTTCTGGGTATACATGAGAGGAGGCTGTGCTGCTGGGATGGCCTTACCAATTCTAGAGATTTGTAGGGGTGGTGGTGGTGAGCACTTGATTTTGAGAGGGACGGCAGCCCAGAGAATAAGAGAATGGGGTTGGAATGATCGAAGAGCCTGGAGAACTTTTGGGGAAAGTTCTAAATGTCAAGGTGGACAGGTGGGAGGAATCAACTATGGGTGGGAGATGGGGAGGAGAGGGAGGATTTGGAATAATTCAATATAATGTGTGAGTCCTCTGCCAGTCCGTAGAGGGCAAGGTTTCCTTTCCCCTGTTCTGGTGGCGACTCACTGTCTCTTCCCTTCTCAAGGATGAGAAGCAAAAAAAAAAAAAAAAAAAAAAAAAAGTGACTCCCTGGATCATTTGCATATTCTCCATCCCCAGGAAAAGCAGGCATCTGTGGCCCCCCCTATGCTCCTTGGGAACCTCTTCCTTTTGCCTCCAAATGAAATTGCCTCTCATTCTTGCCAGTCCTTTGATTCTCCAGGGGTGATGCCCACTCTTTTCCCAGACTGGTAGCCAGCTGGCCCATCACCAACTGGTTAATCCATTAACCCGGCATGGCCACTGGTCAGCCAGTTGGCCAGCACTGACTCATTCTTCAGCCAGTTCTCTGGAAAGCCATCTGGTTGATCAGTTAGCCAACAAACCCATAAGTCCATGGCTCCAACCAAAAGCCCATTCCTTCTCACAGCCCTTGTTCCCTCCCTTCCTTTCCCTCAACTCTCTAACATTTCAGCTGATAGGACTTACTAATACTGCATAATTGGGTCTGCTTCTTAATCCCCTGCCTTCCCTCTCTCACCATCTGTTGGAAAACCCCGTTGCCGACTCTGTGTGTGTTACTAACACGCTTATAACCCAGGGGACCAAGTGATGGGCAGGGACAGGTGGGGCAAGGTATGAGTGAAAAACCGAACTAACCTTTCTGTCTCATCTGCGGAATGTCGGCCATCTTTAAGTCTTTGCTTTCTTGGTCCAGTTGTTTTGTTGTTTTCTTCTGTACTAACCAAGGTCTCTAACTGTTCCCCTTCTCTGCAGACGGCTCTTCTTCCGGGAGGGGATGGCGGGGGGAGGAGGAATCCAGAGGAGAGGTGGGGGAGGTATGGGAAGAAGAAGGGACTTAATTTTTGTGTGTGTTTTATTTCCTTCCCCCATTATAATTTAATTTTCTTTAAACAAATACTTTCGCTGAACCTAATGTGGGAGGGTTGGAACAAACAACCAAATATATATGGATATATATTTTTCCTCCTTCCTTGAGTTTCACAGTTGGTCATTTTATTTTTCTTTTCTTTTCATTCTGTTCTTTTGTTGTGTTTGTTGTTTTTTTTTGACACCCCCCTCCTCCCCCTCCCCCCCATCTCCGGTGAAGCACGCAGGGATTGGACACGCTATGGTAAACAAACTGCATTATCTGGTAGATATCACTCTAATTGTCTTACCGTTTGGTTTGCCGTGGGTTTTTTTAACTGTTCGATTCTCCCTCTTTTGTTTCCTCTCCCTGTTTGGTTTTTGGTTGTTTTGCTCTTCCACTTGTTTTTTGCGTCCTAGACAATCTTTAGATTTTGCTTCTCTTTTAGTTTCCCTCTTTCCCTTTTCTTTCTTTTTTGGTCCAAACTGAAATCCAAAAGACAAATGGAAATCGAGGAATTTGGCTTGTCCCTGCTGTAATCCCTAACTCCCGAATTCAGATTCCTGGCCAGAGAGACCTGGGGGCAGGCCCCATGTTCATCAGCTCTGGTTAGACCAGCCCCGATGCCAGGCTGCTTATTTCTATTGCTTTATTTTGTTTTTTTCCCTCCCCTCCCTTGTTTTTTCCTTTGATTTAGTTTCTTGGTCTCCTGAAAATCCATGGAAAACACCATCCCATGACATGCTATGCCCTGCTCACTGTCGCTCCCTGGACAGGGCCCCTCAAGCTGGGGGAGGGGGCTAGGGGCGAGACCTCCAGTGGCAGCCAGCCAGGTGGGTTCCAAGGGGTTGAGGGGCATGGCCCTGGGAGATGCAGAGCTGCCTGGGATCAGTCCAGACCTCATGCAAATCACCGGTTCATAGCAGTTTGGGGGCTGCCCAGTGCTGGCTGCTCCGGGAAAGGTGCCATCCCCTCCCGCACTTCTCAGCCTTGAGGGTTCCTGGTTCCATGTCCCCCACATTTTGCATGGCATGAATGGTCTTTTCCCCCCACCAGGGTTAGCGTCCAGCTCCCCCCCAACTGCTCCACTGCTCTGACTAACACTGTGTTTCACACTGTCTTCCTTCTCTTCACCCCCTGTCCTCTCTGCCCGCTGACTCCCCCGCATGGCCTCTGACAGGGGCTGGTTTCCTTCCTTGTTGAGGGGAGTGAGAGGAAGAGGCCCAGAGGGGTGGGAAGGGGCAGCACTGGTTGTCCTTGTCACCGAGCTCCTCTGTTTGGGTTGGGCTCAGTCCTGGTGAGTGTTGGTGTGGGTGTCTGTGTAAATGCAGCTGGTGTGTGTTGGTGTGTGGGTGTGACTGTGTGTAAATGTTGGCGTGACATTTTGGGGTGTTAGTGGGAAGCTGTACTGTGTGTGTACGAGGCCCTGCTGGTGACTCTCCATGTGTGAGATGGTGTGAGCTGGGGGCTGCCTGACTGTGTGGGTTTTGAGCCTGGCAAGGACTCTGTGTGGAGGTAGACTGTGGGGACTGGCCCTTCAGTCTCAGTGCCATGGCAGGTAGGAACAGGGAAGGAGCTGGGGCTGGCTCTTTGCTCCTTGCGTCACCTCAGAGTGTGTGCCTGTAGGCCCTGCTGCGTGCTATCCCCTGGGATTCCCTTGTGCCTGCCCAGTCCTGGCTCTGCAGCAGCAGCTGGTTAGTCATCGCCTATTAATAATGCAGAGTGATTGAGCACCAAGCTGGGGACCCTGCAGATGGACGTGTCTGCACTCGTGGGGCTGGTGCTGCTTGCAGCAGCTGCCTGGCCTGCCCAACCTCCTGGGTTTACAAGGCTGGCTGATGAGGAGGGAAGCGTAACAGTTGGGGCTCCCAATTTGAGTGGCTCCCCCACTTCTCTAGGAAGCTCTGCCTCTCAGGCCACATCTGGCTTTTCCTGACACTTCTGCAGGTCCATGTTTTCTTGCACCCAAACAGACTGCATAGACTAGTGCCCATGCCCAAAGCCATTCCAGCCCTCCCCAATTTAAGACCTCAGGTGGCCATTCCCAGTGGTCCTGGTGTTCCAAAGGGTCATACAATGCCAGTCTTCTTGTTTCTTCAGCTTCTGCTTCTAGGAGTTAGCAGCTACCTGTCCAGCTCAGGCCAGGCCATTGAGTACCTGTCAGGGGCTGGCCACTGTCTTCACAGTACTTCCCTGGATAGCCAACCTATGACTTTGGGGACAGAAGGGAGGCAAGATCAAGCCATGTGGTATACCCCAAGCCTCTGGAGAGTACCATCCTAGAATTAGGACCCAGCAGACTTTCCATCTAGCCTCAAATTGGTTAAAAATTGACAATGTGGGCTGAAGCTATTAAAGCTCAGTTTCCTTACCTACCAAATGGGCTAATTGAGGTAATATACTTGCATTGCCTGTTACATGCATTCAGAGTGAAGATCAAGTAGAGTAATAGAAGTGAAAACATTTGTACTCTGTAAAGGAAATTGTAATGTTATTAAGCTTTATAAAATGTTAACTGATTATCTCAGTGTTTCCAGGGCAAGGATGTTTTGTAAAGAAATAATTCTCTTCCATAGCAAACTCTGGAGAATATAGCATCTCTGGCTCACTCGGAGATCCTATTAACATCTCTTCTTAAGAATCCATCCCTGAACACAATGGCTCATGCCTGTAATCCCAGCACTTTGGGAGGCTGAGGTGGGTGGATCACAAGGTCAGGACTTCAAGGCCAGCCTGGCCAAGATGCTGAAACCCTGTCTCTATTAAAAATACAAAAATTAGCCAGGCATCATGGTGGGTGCCTGTAATCCCAGCTACTCTGGAGGCTGAGACAGGGAATTGCTTGAACCTGGGAGGCAGAGGTTGCAGTGAGCTGAGATTGCGCCACTGCACTCCAGCCTGGGCAACAGAGCAAGACTCTGTCACAAACAAACAAACAAACAAACAACAACAACAAAAAGAATCTGTTCCAAAATAGTTGTATGAAAGCTCAGAATGTTTCAGGAATTGGGCTGGAGAAGAGGAGGAAAGATGAATGACTTAAGTTGGTTAAGCAAACAACCAGCCGGGCATAGTTGTCTGTAATCCCAGCACTTTGGGAGGCTGCGGTGGGCAGTTTACAAGGTCAAGAGATTGAGACCATCCTGGCCAACATGGTGAAACTCCGCCTCTACTAAAAATACAAAAAATTATCTGGGCATGGTGGTGCATATCTGTAATCCCAGCTACTTGGGGCTGAGGCAGGAGACTCGAACCTGGGAGGCAGAGGTTGCAATCAGCTGAGATCATGTCACTGCATTCCAGCCTGGCAACAGAGTGAGACTCCATCTCCAAAAAAAAAAAAAAAAAATGCAAATCACCAGCTAGGCACCTGTAGTCCTAGCTACTCAAGGCTAAGGTAGAATTGCTTGAGCCCAGGAGTTCAAGACTAGCGTGGGTGACATAGCAAGACCCACTCTTTATTTTTTTGGAGACAGAGTCTTACTCTGTTGCCTAGGCTGGAGTGAAGTGGCATGATCTCAGCTCATTGCAACCTCCGTTTCCCAGGTTCAGGCAATTCTCCTGCCTCAGCCTCCTGAATAGTTTGGGACTACAGGTGCGTGCCACCACACTTGGCTAATTTTTTGTATTTTTAGTAGAGACAGGTTTCACTGTATTGCCCAGGCTGGTCTCGAACTCCTGAGCTGAGCCAGTCTGCCCACCTCGACTTCCCAAAGTGTTAGGACTACAGGCATGAGCCATTGTGCCCCAGCAAGAAACCCTGTCTCTAAAACACACACACACACACACACACACACACACACACACACACGCACACGCACACACACGCACACACGCACGCATGCATAAAACAAACAAAAAGAAACAAACTATGCTGTCTCACTTCGGCCCTGGAAAGGAAAGTATCTGCTAAATTCTGAGTCTCTAAAGCCTGCACTTTCCTGCATGAGCAATACTGACTGATGACCAGATCTGGTTGCCTTTCGGTGGCCTCACAGACCTTCATAAACCTGTACTAGGAATCAGCTCTTTCAGGACAAAACCAAAGTCAGAGGCCTTGTAACAGGGTTCAGTGTATTCTGATTCCCAAGGCATCCCCCAGACAGGTTTTGTCTAGTTTTCAATTTATTTTTACTAACTCACTTGTATGGACTCTCTTCATGTTGTTTGAATACTTCTTCTTGGGGGAGAGGGTGGATATATAGCAAAAAGGCCAACCTTGAGAAGGTTGAGAAGTTTGGATTAGGTGTGATCAGGCTGATGGAGTTTGCTTGTAAAAATAATGATAGTTCTTTATACACACACTGGGAGTCTTTGAATAGCTGTCCTCTTTCAAATATCATTTAAATTTGATGAATGCCTGGACTGCAGGTAGCAGGGAGAGATTGTTCCCAGTTAACAGATGGGAGAAACTGAAGCCCAGAGAATGCACCTTGCCTAGGATCACATAGCCAGATGAGGAATTTAACTTCAGTTTTCTCATTTGGTGCTCAAAGTAAGCCTGGAAGAAATGGGAGTGACCGAAGTTGTTAGACTCCTCTTACAGGTGAGAGTCAGAGAGGTAAAATGGGATTGTTCTGGAAAAGGGCAAAGGCTGAACGAGAGCCCAGGATTTCTTTTTTTTCCCCTTCTTCTTTCTTTCTTTTTTTTTTTTTTTTTGAGACACAGTCTCACTCTGTTGCCCAGGCTGTAGTGCAGTGGCACAATCTCAGCTCACTGCAACCTCCACCTCCCTGGTTCAAGCAATTCCCCTGCCTCAGCCTCCTGAGTAGCTGGGATTACAGACACATGCCACGATGCCTGGCTAATTTGTTTGTATTTTTGGTAGAGACGGGGTTTCACCATGTTGGCCAAACTGGTCTTGAACTCCTGACCTCAGACAATTTGCCTGCTTTGGCCTCCCAAACTACTGGGATTATAGGCGTGAGACACCATGCCTGGCTGAGGGCCCAGGATTTCTGACCTCATATCTTTCCTCTCTATTCCCAAACGATCAAATCCCAACCTCAGGATCCACAGCAGGGCTATGCCTGCCAGTTAAGTTTGTCTTCATGGTGTGTCTTTCCAACCTGAGTCTCTGGTTAGCTGCTGCCCTCACACTGAAGAGGTAGCTAACCCAAACCTTTAGCAGGACTTGCAGTATCTCACTCAGCCTGGAGACCCTTTCTTCCCCTTTGTCTTTATCCCTTATTTCCACCCACTCAATCCTAAGGGGATGTCTGGACCTTTCTCCTAGACTAGTTGCTCTTAACCACCTTTGGCTCATGGATCCCTTTGAAAATTTGATAACAGCGATGGACTCTCACAGGAAAAGAAAAGCCCACGGAGACACTTTGGCACACAATATCAAGGGGCTTGGAATCTCCCTAGCCCAGCTAGCTTGCTCACAAGTTGAACATACCCGCCCTCAGTCTTGTTCTTCCTAGAATAAGTCCCCCTCCCAATGAGGTCAGTGACCCTGTGATCATCACAGGTGGCTGGGAAAGTCTCCAGAAGATGGCAGAAGGATACTTCCCCTCTTCCTCAGCCTTTCTTTCTAAGGCATGGTGGACATGGAGTCCCCACCAGTGTGGAGTTATCTATGGCCAGGACCTAGTTTCATATCCTGCACAGCCTGCCACAGGGGAAGTGTGTGGAGCAGGAAGAGAAGGGGGTCAGCAGGGAGGGCTGAGAGCCTACCCAAGTCACAGGCTGCCCCTTGTGGCCACCTCCAGCCCGCCTCTCTGCTCCTGGGGAGCACAGTGGGGGCTGGCCAGTGGGCTTCTGCTGCCTCTGCATTCTCTCCCCTCTCCTCTGGCTGGACACAAGTCTTCCAGGACAGAAGCTCTGGCTTATTCCCCTTGGCCAGCTCAGTACCCACTCGGCCTGCTTGTCTGTGTTGAGTGGGTTGGCATGGGTTGGGTGCAGATACTCTGCTGTGTCTCAGTGATGCTGTTTGGAAGGAGACAGCTGGAATGTCCCACTGCCCTGGGTAGGATGTGATGTGTACTCAGGTGTGTCTGGGGGTTGGTGATCGGTGGCGAATGGGTGGTGGAATGAGTGCTGGGTCACCTGCTGATAAGGAAGGTAGAGTCAAATGTCCCTGCTCTTCCTTTTTCAATCCATAAGTGTCTCTGTTCTAGTGGTCACTCCTCTCTCTTCCCTCTATCACTGGAAGGAAACTGTCCCTACCTGCATCCCACAGCTCTGTCGCCTCCATCTCTGCTCCTCCCAGTGCCCCTGCCCTGCACGCCTTCTTACCTGGCTGCCTTTCTCTGGCCTGTTCTGCTGGGCCTGGCCCCATCCTGCTCCTCTAACCTGCATGTGTCCAGCTGCAGTGGCTGTTCTGTGTTGCATGGCCCCCTCCCTTCCCTCCTCCCCCGCCGGCCCCACCCCTTCCAGAAGATGCATTGGGGGGGTTGGGGGGCAGGGGCATCATGAACCCCCGGGGTGGAGGGGGACCGGGGGAATTATTCCCCTGTTTCCTGCTTTTACTAACGAACCTGCCATTTTTGTGTCTGGACTTTGATTTGTCTGAGGGAACAGTCGGGTTTTACTAATCTAAGTCATCTCCCTCCTTGCCTTCCCCAGAGACCTTCCTCAATTCCCTCTACCCTTCACTTCCTTTCCACCCAGAACCTGTCCCCACTTTCTCCTTCTACGCCCCACCTCCAGCTGATCACCTTCCTCAGGGCACTTCTTTATGTTGTCCTTCCTCTTACTGCCCCAGCCCCAGCCTCACCCCTGGGCCATAAGAGGGTAATTAAGGCAGCCCTTTTCCCAGTAGGAAAAAGCCCAGGGGGGCAAGGTGAGATTGTGCCCAGCCAGGAGGGAAACTGAGGAGGGTATTTCCTCTTCTCTACCCGACACTGTCGGGCCCTTCTAAGTCTGAGAGGGCAAAGGGAGGCTGACCTTGGCAAATGGAGTGGGATAGAGAGAGCCCATAGGGTGAGGGAGATGGCCAGTGGCTGGTGCCCTGACTTGTGAGGCCAGGGAGGGAGTTCACAACTGGGAGGCTAGATGGGTGGGAGGCCAAAAGAGGAGATTCTCTTTGTGGGGAGCTTTGGGACCAGAAGAGCCCTTTCCCTGCACTGAAGCAGGAGGGCACTTGAGTTTCTGTCACTAAAGTCACAGACTCCCTGGGTGTTAGGTTTATAGATGGAGATGCAGGTAGTGTGGCCCTGGGTCATAGGGGTTCTTTAATGACTGTGCGTGGAATCCCCTGGATTATGTTCAGATTAGTGGGGTTACAGGGACATTTCAGGCTGGTGTCTGCCCCTCAGAAGCTGACCAGTTGGGGTGACCAGATTTAGGCATAGGAAGTAATTAGCAGCCCAATTTCTGGTCTCCCAGAGCAGAGTGGAGGTGGAGGGCTGTGTGGAACTGAATTTGCCCCAGGGAGGCCCATTCACCCTGTGACCCACTCCCTATCGTATTCCTGCCCTTTCATTCCAGTCCCTTCTTCCCTTTCTCCAGCCCCTCTCTGCCAGGTCTAATCTCATTTGCATGTTTTTGTGACTAATACTTTGACCCTTCCCTTTTCTACCCAGACTCCTAATTCCCAGCCTTAGGGTGGGGTGGAGTGAAGAATAAATAAACAATAATGACCAGTCCTCCCCTCAAATAAGACTCATAAGGTTTCAGACTGCCCCTTTCCACAAAGACACCCCTGACCTTCTGCTCTTGAACCTAATTACCCCAGCACAAGGTTTGATGGTTCCCAGGAGGTGGAGAGTGGGGCTCAGCTCTACCCCATTTACTGCGAGGCTCCAGCCAGGCACAAGGGGGACTCAGGGTCCTAGGAGAGCAGGAAGCTCACTTGCCCCAGTTCTGCTCATGTCCCTTTGGAGTGCCTCCCTCTCACTCACTGAGACCATGGACCCTGGGAGACAAGTCACTGGAAGATGGCTGGTGGCATGTGCACATGGACTGGTGTGGGTGGGGACGGCATAGGATGTGACTGGAAGGCCCCAATCTCTAGACTGCTCCTGAAAGAGGGTGCTGAGGCACTCTTGGGGAATGGGAAATGGGGTGAGCTGTGGCCTGTGGAAGCACAGTTTTGGGCTAAACCTGAACCAGCTTCCCATTGACCCTGCAGAGCTCTGCCCTCTTTCCCAGCTGACCCTCCCAAACCAAGGTCTTCCTAGAGTAGGGGCTCATAGTCTCATAACCCTTGGCCCTTCTCGCACAATCTTTCTGGGTGTTTTGAACCCTCGTGGGCTGCTTGTAGAGTGAGATTTTTTGAAGACTAGGTGGGCATTTGCAGGGGGTACTGGGAGGGTTGGAGAGTTTCCTGTCCTTGTCACGCCCCACTCCACCTAAGATCACTTCTGCATTCTTCAGGCCATGACTGAGCCCCCCATGCCTCCTGGAACACCAAGTACTCCCCCATTCCTGCTCATCCTGCTTTCTTACTGAACTTTCAGCCCAGGGACAAGGTATTTATGAGGTTAGCCCTATCCTCTTTTGTTCCCTAAGCTGGCCCTGACTCCCTGGAGTAACTCTGGTGGTGTCAGTAGGTAGGGCAATTAGATAGGAAGAAGGACGAGTGGGCTGATGTAGCTAAAGGGCTTCCCTCTCCTGTGACCTGAATATAAGGAGATTGGAGTAGTGAACAGAGAGACTCAGGAAAGGGCTAGGAGAAGTGAAGACTTGGAGACTGCACAGCAAGGGCAGAAATCAGCTCCAGTAGGCAACCCCAGAAAGTTCCAAGACTTCCCAGGAATATCTGAGTTCCCGGTCCTCCCACTGCTATCTTCTATCTCCCTACTGGTTCCAGACTGAATGATTTCCCAGCACACCCAGCAGAGAGGGCTGCAGGTGAGTCTAAGCCATAAGATCCAGGGAATACTATTCTCTGGCATGCTTTCGAAAGAAGTTCTGGAGTCACATGTGTGTCCAGAGAGTCCCTTCAGGAGAAGAAAAGTGAGGATGTCATTTGCACCTATCCTGTGCCCCAGAATGGGGGCTCTGTCCTGGAGCCCCCAATTCTTGTTCAGAGTGCCTTCCAGGAGCTGCTTCTTGGGGTATCTCATGGGGAGCTCTCTAGGTACCCTTCGGCTCCCGCCTGCTGAGCTGAGGGCCAGAGGGCAAGTCTTAGCCCACCCTGAAACCATCAAATCTTGTGCTGCTTCCTTTTCCTCATTCCCTCTCTTCCCCCACTGTTCCTCCTCCAAGACAAGCAGACATAAAAATGGGGGTCCCCCTCCCCCGCTGCCCTCTGGCCCCTCCTTTGCCCAGCCATAGCTCTTCCTAGGGATTTAATGTTGGTTGTCTCCTGTCTTTCTCCCTCCCCCCTGGGCTGGGCAGGTGACCATCTCAGTGGACGGGATCCTGACCACCACAGGCTACACGCAGGAGGATTACACCATGCTGGGCTCTGATGACTTCTTCTACATCGGGGGCAGCCCCAACACAGCTGACCTGCCGGGCTCGCCCGTCAGCAACAACTTCATGGGCTGCCTCAAGGATGTGAGTAGGGTTAGGGAGGGGCTGCGGGCTGTTCAGGAGCCCTTTGGCTCCTGTCTTCAGTGTGACTTAGTCTGATCTGGCCAGGTGCCTGGTCCTCTCTTCCTTCCAAGTCCATGGTGAAGACATACCCTCTTTAAAAACTAAGGCCCATTGACTCCATCAAGAGGCTTCTCCCCTCTCATTTCCTTGAGCCTTGGAAACATCATCCTCATAGAGGACCCTCAAAGGCAGCTGTGGTACAGAGGAAAGAATGCTGGGTGTGACGATTAAAGATCTCTGTTTGAGTCCCAGCCCTTCCACTCACTGGTTCTGGGACTGTGGTCAAGTCATTTGCCTGTCTGATGCTTAGTTTCCTTCTCTGTAGTTGGGTGGTCAGTGCCTACTTCCTAAAGTTGTGAGGGGCACATGAGAGTGTAAGTGAACATATTTCATCAAGTAGAAAATGGCTACCACACACCAGTGGCCTTGTCGTTATGATGAACTGCAATTTAGTGGGCACTGAGCGCCCACAGGGCAAGCCACCATGCTCATGCTGGGCCAGAAGACAGGACAGAGGATGTGGCAAGGGAGGTGCTTGTTCACAGCCTCTGCGCCTGAAGCTCTAGAACAGAGGCCTAAGCTGAGTGGTCTGGTGGAACTGAGCAGGGCCTACCAGGGGCGGGTGGCTGAGTCCCCTGGTGGTTGCTGCTGGGTGGGAGTGGCCAGGCCCTAAGCTGCTTTTGATTCTTTATCCTTGACCCCACTTCTCCCTGTAGGTGGTCTATAAGAACAATGACTTCAAACTGGAACTATCTCGCCTGGCAAAGGAAGGGGACCCCAAGATGAAGCTGCAGGGGGACTTGTCATTCCGCTGTGAGGATGTGGCTGCCCTGGACCCCGTGACCTTTGAGAGTCCCGAGGCCTTTGTGGCACTGCCCCGCTGGAGTGCTAAACGCACTGGCTCCATCTCCCTAGACTTCCGCACCACTGAGCCCAATGGGCTGCTGCTCTTTAGCCAGGGCCGGCGGGCTGGGGGTGGAGCTGGCGGCCAAAGCTCTGCTCAACGGGCCGACTACTTTGCCATGGAGCTGTTGGATGGCCATCTCTATCTTCTGCTGGACATGGGATCTGGGGGCATCAAGCTGCGGGCATCCAGCCGCAAGGTCAATGATGGCGAGTGGTGTCACGTGGACTTCCAGAGGGATGGGCGGAAAGGTCAGGAGGCCTCTGGACCCTCCCCCTTCCCTGGGCCACCCCTTTCCATCTGCCCCGACACCCTCTCCATCTCTCTTCAGCTGGTCTCTTCTACACCATATCTCGTACTCCTCCCTGGTGCTTCTCCTACACCCCTCCTCACATCTTCCCAATTGTCCTTTCTGTCATGGCACATTGGCAGAAAGAGCACAGCATTTGGCGTCAGTCAGACCTCAGCTCCCCTACTTGCTTCATGTGAGACTCTGTTTCCTTATCTGCCACAGGAATAATCCCACAAGGGCCCTTGAGAGGAGAAAATAAGAGCACATCTGTAGAAGCATTAGCACAGTGCCCAACACAGAGCAGATACCCCATTCTCCTTTAAGAATATATCTTCCCAGCCATGCTTCCCTTCTGTCTAGAGCCATTTAACCTAAAGAAAAAATTAACTCACTAGGCTGGGCGCTGTGGCTCACGCCTGTAATCCCAGGACTTTTGGGAGGCCGAGGTGGGTGGATCATTTGAGGTCAGGAGTTCAAGACCAGCCTGGCCAACATGGTGAAACCACGCCTCTACTAAAAATACAAAAATTAGTGGGGCATGGTGGTACACTCCTGTAGTCCCAGCTACTTGGGAGGCTGAGGCAGGAGAATTGCTTGAACCCGAGAGGCAGAGGTTGCAATGAGCCGAGATCTTGCCATTGCACTCCAGCCTGGGTGACAGAGCAAGACTCTGTTGTCAAAAAAAGAAAAAAAAAAGAAAAAAGAAAACTCACTCAACAGTTAACTGAGCACCCACTGTGTGCTAGATGCTGTCCAAGGTTCTGAAGATAGGGACAGCAGGGGAACTAAAGAGACGATCTTCACTGTCACAGAGCTGCTGGTGTGGGGTGGGAGAGCATGGAGTGAAAAGACAGTAAACAGCCCTGCATTCCTACCTAGCAATGAGGGCTCTAGAACAATAAAGTGTCAGGGCAGAGTGCTGGGATCGGGCAGAGACCTGTTCTTGAACCTTCTGTCACTTCTAGCCACTATCTCCTTCACCCTTCATTCAGTCTTTTGCATGCTCTTCTTGTTTTCTGTCTGCTATTTCTCTCTTCTTTACTCTTTTCTGTCTTGTTGAACATGAGAGAATTATCCAAGAAAGGGAAATTGATATAAATGAGAACTGAAACATCCAATTTAAGCACTTATCAGCGTCAGCTAAATTTTTGTGCTCCTCTGCCTGTCACTGAGCTGGGCCTGTGAGTCTGGGTGGAATGACCGTTCCTCCCCATACAGGAAGGAGGGGCCACTGTGGCTCCCAGGGAGTGACTGCTTCTCATGGACTTGCTGTTTCTTTCCTGTCCTTCCTCGAAGAAGTATTGCCATCCCCTCCACCACCCCGGGTCTTTACGTTAAATGGTTTCATCCCAGAGCTGTGTCTCAGGGCAGCCCTAGGGATTCTTCACAGATCCCTTTGCCCCTAGGGGTTTCCACCAGGTGGTCAGTAACTCCCTAGGTTGGAAGTCTGCCCAAGCCTTGCAGGGCACTGCAGGTCTTCCAGTCCTCTGTGCTTTCAGGAAATGCTCCTGTTAGCTCACACCGATCTTGGGAGGCAGTGTCTGGACAAGGTCTGGCTGGTCCTTGTATTCTTGTCTTGACCAACTCTGGACATTTCTGACCACCCATTTCATATGTGCACACAAACACAGACTTAGGGCAGCTATTCCAAGAAAACTCTCTTAGATCTTTTCCCTGATTTTTTTTTTCTATGTTCGTTTTTGCCATTGTGGTAAATTATACATAACAAAATTTACCATCCTTTCCTGCAGATCACATGGGACAGAGAGAAAAATGAACAACAAAACAGCAAAAAAAAATTGACCATCGTAACCATTTAATTTTTTTTTTTTTTTTGAGACGGAGTTTCGCTCTTGTTGCCCAGGCTGGAGTGCAATGGTGTGATCTTGGCTCACTGAAACCTCCACCTCCTGGGTTCAAGCAATTCTCCTGCTTCAGCCTCCCAAATAACTGGGATTATAGGTGTGTGCCACCACACCTGGCTAATTTTTTTTTTTTTAAATAGGGACAGGCTTTCACCATGTTCAGGCTGGTCTTGAACTCCTGACCTCAAGTGATCCATTTGCCTCAGCCTCCCAAAGTGCTGGGATTACAGGCGTGAGTCACTGTGCCTGGCCCATCATAACTATTTTTATTTTTATTTTTTTAATATTTTAAAGTTTTTTTAGCTGTAAGTTCATTGAGTGCAAAATAATTCTCTCCAATTTTACTAAGGTGGCTGACCACGTCCACGACCAAATCCACCTCTAACCTGGAATTCAGTTGCTGACCCAGCCCCAGCCTTAGCGTTCTTGTTGGCACCAGGTGGCACAGCACTCCATCTGTAGGTATCTGTGTCTGCTTCCCCTCTTGTGAGTCTTGCAGGTCGCTCACCTTCCAGACCTTTAGGCCGAGGCCTGCCTGTCTGGACGGCTGCAGTGTAGGGTGGCAGGCACAATCTCTGGGGGCAGATGAAGGTAATCACAGAGATACTGGATACCCTCACTGGTCAGGTACCAGTAGAAACGTCTCCAGGCAAACTGTTCCTTCACATAGCCTTGGGACTTGAGAGACTGCATAGCCTCCATGACATGAAGGTTGGGCATGTTCTTGTCTGTCAGCTCTGGGTGCTTAGGCATGTGGACATTCTTCTTGGCCACCATGGCTCCCTCCATAAAAAGGAGTTCATAAATGGCAATCCAGTTCTTCTTAGGCATCAACATCTCAGCGGCTCTCTCATAACCATTTTTAAGTGTTCAGTTCAGTGATGTAAAGTACACTCACATTGTTGTGTAAATATCACTGGTAACTATCAGTTGTCTCCAGAACTTTTATCTTCCCAAACTGAAACTCTCGCCCATTAAACGCTAACTCCCCATTCCCTCTTCTCTTAGCCCTTGGCACCCACCATTCTACTTTCTGTATAGTAATTTGGCTACTTTAGGTACCTCCGTTAAGTGGAATCATGTGGTATTTATCCCTTTGTATCTGGCTTTATTTCATTTTGCATAATGTCTTCTAGGTTCATCCATGTTGTAGCAAGTGTCAGGATATCCTTCCTTTTTAGGGCCAAATAATGTTTCATTGTCTGGATATACACCTTGCATTTATCCATCCATCTGTTGATAGATGCTTGGGTTGTCCACTCAACCCTGTGTTGAGTGATCTTGGTGCAGAGGCCTGTACTCACTATGGTTGCCTCCTGTTGACCCCCCATTATACACCCCTTTCCCTCCTCTTTCTGTCCCTCCGTCTTCCTTTTCCAGCATTTGGTTCCTTTGTAGAGAGTCTGTTTGGGTCATGTAGAACCCAGGAGGTACTGCAGTAAGTAGGCAGAGCAGGCATGGGGGAATCTGGCTATAATTAGAGGTGTGGGTGATCAGGTAGGCCATGTTTGATGGCCTGTTAGAGGAGAGGCCCACAGCCCTGGGAAGTGGGTTTAGAGTCAGGACCCTGGGTCATCTGACACCTTGTATGGAGAGAAATGCTAGGGACCATGTTACTAAAAGAGGGCACAGCTCTGGTTCAGGTGAGGGTTTTTTTCTTTTCTCTTTGTTTTTTTTTTTTGAAACAGAGTCTAGCTCTTGTTTCTCAGGCTGTAGTGCAGTGACATGATCTCAGCTCACTGCAGCCTCCACTTCCCAGGTCCAAGCAATTCTCCTGACTCAGCCTCCTGAGTAGCTGCGATTATAGGCGCCCACCACACCCGGTTAATTTTTGTATTTTTAGTAGAGACAGGGTTTCACCATGTTGGGCAGGCTGGTCTTGAACTCCTGACCTCAGGTGATCCGCCTACCTTGGCCTCTGAGAGTGCTGGAATTATAGACGTGAGCTGCCATGCCCAGCCTCAGGTGAGGCTTTGAGCAGAGGAGAACATGCCATGAATAGGGACTATGTCTGTAGAGGAGATCCCAGTTCCTCCCTCTTGGTTTCCCACCCCGTGCTCACACTGATTTCCTATTGCATTCTCCTCCCAAAGCTCCCTGTCAAATTCAGCCTTCATGTAGACCCAAACTCTCCACTGCTCTTTAACCCCATGAAGTTAGGCAGAGTCTTTCTTTTTTCTCCCTAACTAGGATGACTGCAGTGGGGTATTGCAGTGAGGAGAGAGATTGGACTTAACTCTCACCCCTACTCCTTTTAAAGAGTTCTTTAAAACTGGAAAAAGGACAGAGGAAGGAATTTAAAAATACAAATAAAATAAAGTTTCTAATGTACAGGTTTCTGCAGCTTAAGGTCTCAGTAAAGGCTGTGGAATTCCCATCTGATCCCAAGTCTTTTTTTCTAAGATAATCACCCTCTACTTCTTATTTCTTTCTTTCTTTCTCTCTCTCCCTCTCTCTCTCTTTTTTTTTTTTTGGTATTTTTTTTAGTAGAGACCAAGTTTCACCATGTTGGCCAGGCTGATCTAGAACTCCTGATCTCAAGTGATCCATCCGCCTCAGCCTCCCACAGTGCTGGGATTAAAGGCGTGAACCGCTATGCCCGGCCAAGCACCCTCTACTTCTGAAGAACTCTTCTGTGCCTGCCTCCTTTCTCCTCACTGATGTCCTGCCCTACAGGCCTTGGAGCCAATCTGCTTGTGCACCTTGCTGGCCACAGAGTGGGCTCTTGGCTGAGGGGTGGAGAGTACAGGCTCTGAGTTCTTGCTGCCTGGACCATACTTTGCCTCTGTTTCTTCCCCACTGTGGCACTTTGGTGCTGTTCTTCATCTACCATTTCAAAATGGGATCATAAAGGACCAATTTTGTAGAGTTATTATGAGACTTAAGTGATATAATATATTTAAAGTGCTGGATGCCTGGCATCTAGTCATAAAAGCTTAATAAATGTTAGTGGGGGAAAAAAAAAAAAAACTCCTTTGGATTAAAGATCTTCCAGTCCCTTCTGTTCCTTAAGGTTCTCTGCTTCCGGTTCCCAGTCTAAGGAATTGGCTGGCAGGAATGACCCAGTGAATGATCTAGCCCTTTCTGAGCTCAAGATTTGGGCATGCCCACTTTCTGCACATCCTCTGAGGATTTGCTGAGGTGGAGAGGAGGGGTGTGGACAGAGGCACACAGCATTCTGTAGCTGGGCTGGGGCTGGGTCACACGAGCCTCTGAGCCTGGGGACTTTTGTCAAGCAATGTCTACAGAGAGTGATGTCAAGCTTTTGGCCCAGGACTGCTGCTCCTCCTCCTGAGCCTGCTGCAGGGCGCAAGGTGGAGGGGCCCAGCTGGGATTGGGGGCTTCCTTGGCAGAATCAGGGTATCCCTTTCTGGCCTGTGGCTTTTCTCCATCCTGCCTTCCCTTGATTCCCAGGCTCCATCTCAGTGAATAGTCGCAGCACGCCGTTCTTGGCCACCGGGGACAGCGAGATTCTGGACCTGGAGAGCGAGCTGTATCTGGGTGGTCTCCCTGAGGGGGGCCGGGTGGACCTGCCCCTGCCCCCAGAGGTGTGGACAGCAGCACTCCGGGCAGGCTACGTGGGCTGTGTGCGAGACCTCTTCATAGATGGGCGTAGCCGAGACCTCCGGGGCCTGGCTGAGGCTCAGGGGGCCGTGGGTGTCGCCCCCTTCTGCTCCCGGGAGACGTTGAAGCAGTGTGCATCTGCCCCCTGTCGCAATGGTGGTGTCTGTCGAGAAGGCTGGAACCGCTTCGTCTGTGACTGCATCGGGACTGGCTTCCTGGGGCGGGTCTGTGAGAGAGGTGAGGAGAGTCTTCATCCCAGGGGTCCCTACTCCCCATCCCTGTGCTCCTCCTTCTCAGGGTGACTCCTACTTTCCATTCCTGTGCCCCTCCTCCTAGAGGAACCCCTCATAGACCTACCCTAGGCTTGTCACCCTTGTAATGATTCTCTGGTCTCTCTCCCTCCACTGGCCTCTGCTTGTCTTTCCCTTCCCTCTTCCCCGACTTCTGGGGCAGAGGCCACGGTCCTGAGCTATGATGGCTCCATGTACATGAAGATCATGCTGCCTAACGCCATGCACACAGAGGCTGAGGATGTGTCCCTGCGTTTCATGTCTCAGCGGGCCTACGGACTCATGATGGCCACCACTTCCAGGGAGTCTGCCGACACCCTGCGCCTGGAGCTGGATGGGGGGCAGATGAAGCTCACTGTCAACCTTGGTAACCACCCTGCTCTTTGCTTCCTGACCCCTCACCTGGCCTTGTCTCTGACCCATACCCGCCTCTGTCTGGAGAAGCTGGTGGTGGCACCAGCAAGAGGTGCCCTCAGCAGAGTTTGGAGGTGGGGAGGTGCCAGCCTGGGTCAGAGACCCTGAGAGCTCTGTCCCTGGTGAGGACACACAGTGTAGGGCGACACTCCATGCTTGATGACACTGTGAGGGGTGAGATCCAGTGTCTGGGGTGTGATAACCATCCTCCCAGGTCACTCATGTGGATCTTGGCAGCATCTGTCCTGCACACACACGGATGACACAGCTCATTTTTGGTCGTTGGCTTATCCACTTGCTCATTCATTGGTTCACTGATTTGACAAGCACTTGCTGACTCCTACTGGGTGCTAAGCCTGAGCTCAGTGTGGTGGCAGATACAGAGACAATGAAGGCCTCTTCCCTGCAGGCAGCTGCCCCCAGCTGCTCTGCTCAGTCTAAAGAGTAGTCTGTGTGTTGGTGTGTGGAGGTGCACGTGTGTGTATACTGGACACACAGGTGCACAATCTTCCCCTTTCTAGTGCCATGGGCTTTCACATTTAAGCCTCATGGCTGTCCTGTGAAGACACCAGATCACCAAAGAGGCATCACTGTTCCTGTTTTATAGATTATGAAATTCATGTATTGACTTATTCAACATTACAAAGCTAGTGAAGGCAGAGGGAGGAGCCAGGACTCAACCTGGACCATTTGCCTTAAAGTTCAGTGCTTTTCCCATTCCCTCGGACAGGGCTTCTGACTTTCCTCTTCAGGCCACTCGTGCCCACTCATGTCTCCACCCATGCCCAGGGGTGAGAGCAGGCCTTGACTCCACCTTGCCTGGCAGTCCCCGGGGTGTCCACAAGGGCCGGACCATGAGCCTGTTAGGTTCTCCTCAGGGGCTTCAGCTCTCTTGGTCAGGACAAAAAGAAAACAGCCAGGCTCACTTATTTAGCTGATATTTATGGGATACCTTATAAATGTAGGTATGTTCTAATCCAGGGGCTCAGCAGTGAATAAGCAGTCCCCACCCTTTTGGAGCTTTCAGAGCAGGGGAACCCTGGAAGCGAGAGGTCCTAAGCTGTTCAGGCTGAGGTCAAATCTGTCCATTTCAGACTGGCCTCTAGAAACTTATAAGGGTGTAGCACCCAAAGACCTGCCATATGAGAAGTTTGCAGGCCATCTGGGTCACCTCTTGTGTCCTGGACCTGGAGAGGAAATAGGGCTCTTCTGAGCAGGTTAGAATCCTTGCCTTGTGAGAATATAGAACTTTGATCTTCTAAATATTCATCTGGAGTCTCATTCTAACATTGGTCTCCAGGGCATTTGTGGGACAGAGTGTGGTCTTTTGGGGGCCCATTGCCTTGTAAATATATTTATACTATGTTCTTTCCTTTCCCGCTTTTGGCCACCTGGCCTTTGTATTCCTAGGACAAAGATTTGCTGAGAGAGGTAGGGGCTGGAGGTGGGGAGATGTGCAGGTGGCCAGGGCCTCAGAGTAGTTTGAAGGGTTCCCCACCGCCCTGCTTCTAACCCCGATCACAGCCTGTAGCGCGGGTGGTGTGCAGCAGCTCTGCAGGGGAAAGCAGGCTGGGAGACACTCTGGTCAGTGCTCCACAAGTCTGCACAATGCCCCCTTGCATCCCTGAAACTGTCACAAGAGGATGGCCCCAGCCAAGGACCCCATAAGTGGCCCTGTACTTCCAGGTCTGCCCAGATCAGTGTATCCTGTGTGAGTTCCCCCTCCTTTGCCTGGGCATATGTGTGTTCTCTGTGCATCTAAGCACATGTCTTTGTGCTTGCTGGGGACACAGCAGGAAAATCTGGGGCCTTGGATTTTCAGGGAAGGCAGATGCATTTTGCTTATTTGGACTGTCCCAGGCCCCTGGGAAGAAGCTTGTGTATCTTAAGATTAGACAGGAATCAATGTCCTTTGTCAGGAAAATCTATCCTGTGGGCCCTTGGGACCCACTCTTTCCTCTCCCTGGGCATACTTTTCTGTCTGTACCATGTAAGTGCTCAGAAGTCAGATAACAAGATGGCCTCTTGGAAGACACATCGTGTTAAGAATAGGCTTCCCAGACTGACACATAACAGGACTGTCCTCCCACCCATTTCTTACCCCTGGCTGTGCCCCTGTCCCCATCTGTAGACATGTATGTGCTGAGATGCCATCTCTAGCATGGCTCCTGAAATTCATGACCAAAGGCTTGGTGCAAATGCATCTGTCTACAGATTCCTCCTGTGTAGGCACCATGGACACACAGGTGGTCCCTACCCTGCCACCAAGCCTTGTATTGGGATGGGAAGAGCTCTGGGCTCGGGGCCAGAAAACCTGGGGCCTAACCTTGATATCTTTTACTATTGGGTAAGTCATTTCCCATCTCTGAGTCTCTTTTTTTTTAAATCTTTAAAATGGAGATAAGAATCTTCACTCTGCCTATGTCTACGGTGGTTTTCAGAGTCAGATGGAAGAATGGGAATGAAACCATTGTGCAGATGCAAGGCCCATAGTAGAGACCCACCCAGCCTTCTTGAAGGAAAACTATATTGGAATAGGGACCTGAGTTTGGAGCCAGGCCTGTGGGCAGCTTCCACGTAGCATGGCAAGGCTGGAATTGTCTTCTACTAGGTGTGCCCAAGTAGTAACCCCAACAGTAGTACCCAAACGTAAATTGACCCTGACACAAGGGGTCCCATCTGTCACTGCAGCTGATATGAAGAGTGCAGTGTAAAGAATCTCTTGAGCTGCAAGGCGTCACCTCCTTCAGCCTTCCGGCCCTCGTGAATCACTTCAAGAGCCCCGTTCTTTTCCCCTGCTGCTTACTCCCCACGGCTTGCAGGGCCTTACAGATCGGCAGCAACACCAAGGCCCTAGGCCTGGGCTGGACTCCCTGCTGGGGAATAGAGAGAAGCCTGGTGAGGCTTGGTCTCTGGCCTCATGATCTTATCCTGTAGAGAGGGAAACCATTGCTCCAGGAGGCAGCTCTGCGGCTTCACAGGCACTCAGTGGATTGAAACAGACCCCGGGCTGGGCCTGAAGAGGGACTTGAAGTGCCAGCCTCAAGAGATGAGATATTTGCTAGATAAGAGAGGGCCAAAAGGGTGCTGCTGCCTCTTTCCAGGCAGAGGATCCTGAAGAACTGATCATGCCTCCTGTTCCAGCTCTCCAGCCCCCACTATGTTTCCAAACGCCGAGCAAGTTCCTTCTGCTGTCTGCAGCCCCTGAGTGGGGAGTTAATCTCTGTCCCTAGACGATGGTAAAGTCCCTTGGATTCTTTGCCCTGTTCCAGCATGGCCTGGGTCCCTCCCTGGAGGAGAGGAGAGGACAGGCCAGGCTGGGCACTATGCTCTGTTAGGTGTGCCCCTGGGGTCCCAGCTGTCAGTGCAACTGACTTGAAGGGTGTGGTGTAATTAAAGAATCTCTGAGCTGCAAGGGGGTCACCTCCTTCAGCATCCCTCCCCACCCCATGAATCGCCCATGCATTCCCTACCAGTGGGAGGCCTCCAAGATGACCATTCTGATCATTGAGTAGTTCTTTCTTAGTGTCTTTCTTACTGCTCTTCTGAAAGTCCCACTTGTTCTGAAATTCCCATTAGTTCTGCCCCCTGGAATCAAACAGATAAATCTAACTCTCATTCATGTTTTAAATCAGACTAAATACACATTATATCCCAAAGCCCTTTAATCCCTGGGGCCATAGGAGGGTGCATTGCCTTCCCACCTGAGGCTGGTCAGTAATGATCAGGTGGGGCTGCTGGGAGCCAGGTCTGAAGGAGGGCTGTGACAGAGTGCTGTCACCCTGTGATGTCACTTCTGAGACAGTGCCTGGGAGTCTTGGGCCCACTGTCTTCAATCCATAGGGCCTGGGCCAGGTGGGAGCCCAAGTGAGGCCGGTCTGGGAAGCCAGTGTTTTTTCCCTGGAGTTCCTTTCCATGTAGACCACTTTCTCTCACCTCCCCAACACATGTTCATACTATGACCCTGCTGTCTTGTATCCAGCCAGACCTTCATGGGTCTGTGCTACCAAGACCACTCACTTCTGCCTATTCCCTGCACTAGAGGCACAGGTCACTAGTTAACAGGTTACTAGTTAGTGCTCCCTAAACTTGGGTGAATGTGTATGTTGAAGGGGCTGGGCTTTTCCTGCTCACTCTGTCTCTGGCTTTCTTCTGGATGGGGCTGGCTTCCCTCTGGGTGCCCATCTTCAAGTAGTTTGCTCTCACAAATCCTACTGGGGCCAGTGCTTCTGAGTGTGGAATCTCTGCAGGGGTGGGTCTGGAGCTGACACCTCTTCTCTGGACAGATGGACCCCCTATTCCTGTTGCTCCCTTGCTGGGGAAGGGGAAGAATCAAGCTCTTTCCTCAGGCCTTTTTCCCAGTAGGGGACCTACTTGCCCTTCCAGCCTCTCCTTTTTTCTTTTTTGGACCCTTCATTGGTGAAGACTCTGCTGGTCCCGAGAGAGCCCCTGTGACCTGACTCCAGGGCCTGGCACCTTTCCGCCCTCACCTTGACAGTCCTCCCCTTCTTCTGTCCAGCCTTCCCTGTCCCCTCTGCAGCCACTCCTTCCTCTGCTCCCTGCTTTCTTCCTCTTTTCTTTCTGCGTCCTTCCTCTCACTGAGACTTCTCACTTCCCTCTGTGTCTGCCCTTTGACCTTTCTCTGCTCCTCCGCCCCTCCCTTGGTGCCAGGCTGTGGCCCAGGGTCCCAGCTGCTCGCCTCCACTCTTCTGCTGCGGTTGACAACGCGTGTGGAGCTCAGCTGTACTGCCCGAGGGGCCATGGCCCTCAAAGCCACTGGGGCACCGGTTTACCTCCACTGCAGGAACCTTCAGGCGATGCCAGCTGCCTATCCCGTTTACTTCCTGGGCTGTGGGGTAGAGGGAACCTATTTGGGGTGGAGCGACAGGAGGCCAGGGTACTGGGCCTGTCAATCGAGGGCCAGGAAACTGCCCCTCCCTGAAAGGCAAAGCCAACCCAGTGTCCACCTGCTGCCCACTTCCTGCTCAGGATCCTACTGTTGTCCATTCCCTCAGCTCACATGGAGGGAAGCTGAGGCATGGAGAAAAGTGCATTGCCCAGGGTCACATGGTGAGTTAATGAGTGTTAGGATGGAGATGAGGATCCAGCTCCCTGCCTCCCAGTAAAGGATTTCTGCAGCTCCAGCCAGCCCCTTCCCTCAGGCTGAGTCAGGCTTGGGATTTGATAGAGTGGGGCAGTCATCCTAAGGTCCTTAAATCTGGGCTTCACAGGACTGTGGTCCACTGTTCCCTCTGCAAGACCTGACTGGCTCCCACCTTTGGGTGTCTGTGTGGAGGCTGAAGCTGTGGGTTCATATAACCAGAGGGATGGCCAGAGGTTCCAGGGCCCTGGGCTGCAGGCTTTGCGTAGACATGTGCTTTCTGACCAAATGAGGCCTTCCCAGCCCTGAAATCAGAGGATAGCAATTCCAGGACTGGGGCAGGGGCAGAAAACGTTGCTTATGGTGGCTACTTGTCCCCAACTGCTTTGTGTTTTCAGAGAAGTCATATTTTGGGGGCTACACTGTCTCCATCAGTGAGGACTTGGCTCCTCCCTAGGAAGGCAGGTTAATACTAGGTCCTCTTCATGGTGAAGGACTACCCCAGTCCATCCCCAGTGGCAGCCTGGCATTTCCCAGGATAGGAAGGTGCAGAAGGAAGGTTCCTGTAGGGGTGGTGCTAACCCCTGGGGCTTTGGGAGGTGTATGGCCTCGGGAAGGGGGCCCTGGGGCAGACCCCTCCATTTAGCTCAGAGCCCAGAGGGGACAGGAAGTGACAAGTTACACCTGGGCTCTGAGGAGGGAGTTGTCCCAGAGCAGGGGATACAGGGACTCTGGCCCTCCCACCCATCTCCCTCCCAGAGACTGGGGAGATGTGGGATTGGTCAAGCCCTCGGCCCCCATTGATCCCCTGTACGACTGGGATTCCCAAGGTGCCCGTCTCCCTCAGACACGAGAGGCCTGGTCCCCTCTAAGGAGGGGGACATAAGCCCTCTTCCCATCATCTGATTGCCCTGCCTTCCAGCTCTGGGGAGGGTTGGAGCCCTCTTGGGGGCAGGAGGGACAGGGGTCCAACTGAGGAAGGAAAGAGGGCACCTGGGCACGCGTGGTCCCCGGAAAGTGGCCCTGGGGGGATCCCCACCTGCAGACACCCCTCCCTGTGAAGGATGTAAAAAAAAAAAAAAACTTGTTCTACCTTTTTGTCTCCCCTTCCCCTCTGCCCGCCCCATGGCCCCCCCAGACTGCCTGCGCGTCGGCTGCGCACCCAGTAAGTGGCTTCCCTCTTCTTCTGCAGAGACCCAAGGGGACTGGGATGCTGGATGCTGGGATTAGGGAAGGAGGCTGGGAGGAGGAGAATTCTTGATTGCTGGCTCAAGTGGGGGTTGGGCCTTGGGTGTGGGGAGGGGCGTGGGCAGGGGCTGAGATCAGGTAGTTGTGGAACAGGAGGGACCAAACAAAGCAGAGCCAAGGAAAGCTGGGGGAGGGCCTGCAGTCAGGATATTCACTGGGTCTAGGAAGGGAGAGACCAGGACACTCTTTGCCCAAGTCAGCAGGAGGGTGGGGAGGAGGTAGAAAAGACTTGGGTAGCACCTGTGGCAGGATGCTCTGAGGTCCTACTGGCTGGCAGGGAGGAGCCTGAGAGGGACTGGAATAAGTTGCTGCATCTCCAGAGGTGGCCACAAGGGGGAAGGCGAGGCACATGGGAACAAAGACCAGGGTGGGAAAGGAGCCCTCAGCTCCTGTGTCAGCTGGAGTGTTTCTGCCAAATGGGGGCTCCTTCTGTGGTGACAGTGAGAGCTCTCAGCAGGGGTGAGATGGAGAATGAGTGGGTGGACATTTCCAGGCATCGCAGTACGCCTGGGCTCAATGCTGTGTCTCAGGGTATTTCTGCATGGTATGGCTTGGGGTCATGCAGGGGAGCACATACACGTGGTAGACCCAGGCAGAGAGACTGTGTGTGCTGGGTGCCCTGCTCTTCATGTGTGCGTGGCATGCTGTGTGTGCCCTGGAGTGAGTACTGGAGGGCCAAGGGATGACCAGGGAATGCTGTAAAGTCCAGCAGCATTGGAAAGATAATACGTTTTGTTTTAGACTCTGGAAGCTGATGATCCTGGTCTTGAGTAAATGGCCATAATTCCTAAGAAGCAGAACCTTCCCCTCCCTGGCCATTGTGCATATTTATGGGGAATGCGTGTGGTGGCATGACCTGGTGTGTGGCATCAACCAGGCATGTATATGTAGAAAGGTCTCATTGGTCCTATTGTGGATGGAGAAGCTGGTGTCTGTGTGGAGGCTGAAGCTGTGGGTTCACATTTATTATTTGGGTACTGTGTGAAGTTTTGAAAGTTTCAGGCCTGTGTTTATACACTGGGAATATAGCTTCTGGCCATACTTACTGAAGGCCCTTGGGAATCTGGGGGAAGAGTATGTTGGTCTGTGTGCAGGGCCTCAGGGTACAACTCCAGAGGCACCATTCACTTAATATTCTGTGTGCATGGCACCCTCTGAAGTCACGTGAAGGGCAGTCCTGAGAGTGTCTGGATATATGATTGGGGTATAAAAGCTCTGCATGTGCATGGACTCCGGGTGTGATGGGAGGCCATGAGTGTGTACTTATATTCATGGGTGTGTGATGTGGCCAAATATGAGTCATTGGTCATATATGTGTATATGTGTGGCATGTGTGGGTGTGGGGAGGCTGTGTGCCCGAGGTAGTATAGGAAGCCACCTGTGAACATGTATAGGCGTCCTACTCACTTCCCCCTTGGTGCCGCAGGTAAAGGCCCTGAGACGCTGTTTGCGGGGCACAAGCTCAATGACAATGAGTGGCACACAGTGAGGGTGGTCCGGCGTGGCAAGAGCCTGCAGCTCTCTGTGGACAACGTGACTGTGGAGGGTAGGTGGTCTGGGCCTGGGGAGGTAGACACATCTCCAGTGACCTATGCTTGGCCCTGTTCTACTTGATGACCACTGCCTGGGCTGCCGTTCCTAGAGCAGTGTTCTGGCAAGCTGCCTCTGCCATTTCTCCTCCAGGGGTGGTATGATATGGGCATCTGGACCCCAGGAACGATTTCAACTCCCTGAAGGCAGCATTCCCCTGGCAGCCTGTTGGTTTTTGACTGACGAGTCCTGCCGCTCCTCTTGGAGCTGTGCTTGCTGCTAGTGCCTAGCTGAGGACATCACGGGTGGCCATTCTGTGGAGGGGAGGCTCCTGGAATCCCAAGCCCCAGTCTTGCTCCAAATTCATGCCCCTCATCTTGTTCTCCTGTCCTGAGCAGGACAGATGGCAGGAGCCCATACGCGGCTGGAGTTCCACAACATTGAGACGGGCATCATGACAGAGCGGCGGTTTATCTCCGTAGTGCCCTCCAACTTCATTGGGCACCTGAGTGGGTTGGTGTTCAACGGCCAGCCCTACATGGACCAGTGCAAGGACGGTGACATCACCTACTGCGAGCTCAATGCCCGCTTTGGTCTGCGTGCCATCGTGGCCGATCCTGTCACTTTCAAGAGTCGCAGCAGCTACCTGGCACTCGCCACGCTCCAAGCCTATGCTTCCATGCACCTCTTCTTCCAGTTCAAGACCACAGCTCCTGATGGTCTTCTACTGTTCAACTCAGGCAACGGCAATGACTTCATTGTCATCGAGCTGGTCAAGGGGTGAGGGGCTGGGCATTGCACTGCTGTCAAGGAAGTGGCCCCCGCCCCCTGCTGAACCAGATACAGCTCCCCTAGCTACTGGCTGAGGTGTCCAATCCCCCAGATTGCAAGTCAAGATTCAGGTCCCCAACCATAAGTCGAGAGGCTCCCTCTTCAGCTAAGATGGAGAAGAAGCACCCCCCACCTCCACTCTGCTGATTCCCAAGCTACTTCCTTGCCAGAGTTCCCAGTTATATCCATTCTCTGTCCACTGTCACCTTATCTACAGGCAGAAGTCAGTCTTGCCCCTCTCTTGCCTTAGGGGACCCCACCCCAGAGCAGCCCAGTCCCTGCCTCCAGAGGACCCTGCTGACCCACAGACCTCTCCCTTCTAGCTCCTCTTCTGAGCTTGTGTCACAAGAGCCAGCTCCTTGGTGGCCCTCCCTCCTCACATTCTCTCCATGATAGGACCTCACACTATAGCCCTCTTGCCATTGGTTTTGGTCCCTCTCCTGTGGGGTCTCCCTCTTAATCCCTTCTTCCCATGGCACCTAGGACCCCTGCCAGCCATAGCTCCTCCTCATCCCACCTTCCCAGCATCACCCCCACCCTGACCCAGTGTCTCCTCCCTACTGTGGGGCAGGTACATCCACTACGTGTTTGACCTGGGGAATGGCCCGTCCTTGATGAAGGGGAACTCAGACAAACCAGTCAATGACAACCAGTGGCACAACGTGGTGGTGTCCAGGGACCCAGGCAACGTGCACACGCTCAAGATTGACTCCCGCACTGTCACGCAGCACTCCAATGGCGCCCGAAACCTCGATCTCAAAGGTGGGGCTGGGGCCTCTGGAGAAGGCCTGGCCCTAGCCCAGATACCCCTCATCCCAGTGAAATCACCCCATTCCTGGGACGCTGCTTCTATCGGTTCCCTGTCCCTAGTTTTCACCTCTCTTTCCCTTCTCCACTATGTCCTGCCTGACATTTTCCTGTCCAAGTTCTGCTTGGCTCTTTTGCGAGTCTGCATCTCACCTCTGAAAGTCTGGTTGCAGGATGTGTCTCACAGGGTGCTTGGTGACCTCATTCCAGAGCTAGGAGTAGGGAGCCTGGGCCCTCCAAGGACCTCCTGGGCCTCCAAGCTTGAGAAGCCTACATTGGTTGAGGGCTAGAGTCAGAATAGGGAGCTTAGCGTCCCCCCGGGTGAGGTAGACGATATGGGGCAGAGGACGTAGTAGGAGCTAGAGTCCCTAGGCACCTGTCTTGGGCATTGGCTGGCCTAGCTTGGGGACATTTTGGACCCAGCCTTCTGTGCTGTGCGCAGGGTCACACCAGGGTGCCATATTCCCCAGGGCCTCTTCAGTGGTCATTGAAGCAGTCACTGCCTGCCCCCAGAATGGGTGACTGAGAAATCCGGGAAGACGAGGGTGAGCTAAGGCCTGAGCTAAGGAAAGATGAGGCCTGCAGCTTCTCCAGAGCCCACTGAGGGCAATGTGATCTACCTTCTTGCACATGCCCAAAGCAGCCTTCAGCCCCATAGGAACCCCTGGGCATCAGTTTGACTCAAACTGTCAGAGCTTGGGGAGGGTCCTCAGAGACCATGGAATTCACTGCCCCACTCCCCCAGATCTGAGAGCTGCCAGATCTCCTGACATAGTGCTGTGAATTCCCCTTGTTCCCAGAAGGGGGCGACGTGTCACAGAGAATCCAAAATGGCAGCAAACCCAGGGGTTATCTTGGTGCCTCTTGTGCTGCACTGAGCCGGTGGCCAGGGCAGCAGATTGACCAGTGTCTTGACTGAAGTTTAGCTGTGGGCTGGCCAGGGCGTCCAGGGAGTTAGGCTTATGGCAGGGGATCAGGTGTTGTGGAGAAGAACGTCCCAGAGTCCCAGGGCATGAAGTGGGCCAATCCCTAGTTGTTGTTGGGGGAAGGGAGCTGGGCTTAGAACTCCCTAGGAGAGAGTCCAAGAGTTGGGAAAGGCTTGAAGGAGTTCTGGGAATGGGAAACTTTGGGAGGGAGGGAATGGGGGTGGAGAGGATGCGAATCTATGAAAGGCCCTGATTACGGGCCGGAACTGGAATCAAATGTGTGGGAGAGAGCACAGAGCAGGTTCCTCCAGCTGTCCCCCAGCCCCCACTCTCCCAGGCATCTGGGCTTCTCTGAGGGGCGGGGGGAGCAGGCAGATGGCAAAGTGGAGAAGAAGGAAGGGGGTGGAGTGCGGGTTGTGCAGGTTGCCGGATCTCTGTTAGGGACCTGGAATCTGGGATGAAACACAGAGAGCCTGAAAGGGCTGGGAGGACCTGACAGTCAGATGCCATTGTCTTAGGAGGGGAGTGGAGACATGGATGCCTTGGTTGACCCCACTCCCTTTACAGGGGAGTTGTACATTGGCGGTCTGAGCAAGAACATGTTCAGCAACCTGCCCAAGCTGGTGGCCTCCCGGGATGGCTTTCAGGGCTGCCTGGCCTCAGTGGACCTCAATGGACGCCTCCCAGACCTCATTGCCGACGCCCTGCACCGCATTGGGCAGGTGGAGAGGGGCTGTGATGGTGAGTGGAAGATGGAGGAGTGAGGTGTGGCCCTGCTGGCTACAGGATGGCCAGCTGCAGCGGCAGACTGGGGCAGGTAGCCTCTGCTCAGCAAAGAGGCCTTCCTTCTCAGGCCTTGTGGGAGCTTGCCCCCACAGTTCTGGGGCAGCAATACAGGTGTGTGAAGGGTCACTTGCCCTCCCTGTTGTCTCACACCCTGGCCCCTTGTCACACTCCAAGGCCAAGCCTAGCAGACCTGACAACCCCCGCCCCCACCCCGCCACAATCCCTCTCATCAGTACTTGGCCCTTTCAGCCAGACAGAGCTCAGATTAGGACCTCTCTGCCTGGCTCTGAAGCTTCCACACCTCCTGGGGAGAAGAGAGGGGGCTTGGCTGAGCCAGGGGTGTTCCTTTCTCCTGCCCCTTCCAGGCCCCAGCACCACCTGCACTGAAGAGTCCTGTGCCAACCAGGGCGTCTGCTTGCAGCAGTGGGATGGCTTCACCTGCGACTGCACCATGACTTCCTATGGAGGCCCTGTCTGCAATGATCGTGAGTGCCTGGGAGGGTTGGTGGCAGTCTGGGGATACCAGGGCCCATTCCCAGCCACAGGGGCTGCCGGGGAGGAAAGAGGGTCTCTGAGCACTCAGGAGCTGTGCTGCTTGCTTCATTCTCATCCCTTGTCTGGAGAGTCCCAGGTGAGCTTCGGCCTGCTGTCCCCTCAGAGGATCTTTCTCCTGGGGCTGTGCAGGATTGCTGCTGCCTGAAGCTCGGGGGTGACCCACTGATAAATGGCCTTTCCTCCTTGTTCTCAGCTGCTGGGACCCTGCTCCCTTCACCCAAAACCAAAGGTGTCAGCCTCAGTGGGGTGAACTTGCTGCTGTTCTGTGTGATTTGGTGATGGTCTTACATGTACTCGTACCTCACACAGACACACTATTGCACAGGGAGGAGGGCTGCTAACCTGCAACCCCTTTGCTCTGTTGCCCTCAGGGCATGAAGTGGGAATCTGTTATTTCCTGCTGAGAGCAGGATGACACTCCAGAGGACAGGCTCTGGAGGCTCCCAGGAGGCTAGGCTGCTGGACAGCTGGTTTCCCTGGAATGGGCCCCTCTTTCTTCCCGAAGAATCCCAGCTGCTGTTTGTCCCCTTGAGCCACAAGGTCACTCTCCACTGTCTTCACTTGGTTCTTCTCCTCCCAGGCCGGGCATTTGCTTGCCAACTTGCATTCTGTTTGAGAGCCCTCCCCAGAGAGGGCAGCTTCAGCAGCAGCACCCAGCCCTTAGTGGTTGGTGGCCAGCAGCTGGTTAGAGCCTTGCAGAGGGAGGGAAGCTGGGACAGGAATGGCAGGGAGGCAAACTTCTACTCTGTGGGGTGGCTTTGGCATTTCCCTTGGATGATTGGGCTGGAGTGGGTGGGCAGAGAGCAGCCTCCTCAGTATTGCTTGAATCATCTTCCCTGGGGTCCTGCTGAGAGACCAAGCAGAAAAGTCAGCTGCCTGGGAAGAAACACACACACACACACACACACACACACACACACACACACACACACGTGCACATACACACACACATACAACAGAGCATCTCCATATTACAGACATGGAATAATGCTGGAGAGGAACAGTCGATTTCTGGAGGAAGTTCATAGCAGATCTGGGATGAGACCCCTGTCAGTGCCTTTGCCTCCATAGCAGGACCTTCGTCATCTGGGCATGAGTCCTGAGTTTCTTACGGGAGAAACCTACTGGGTCCAGGAGCTCTTGGGTGGTGTTAGTTTTTTTTTTCCCCTTTGAAAAAGTGTCTACTCCATCTCCCTCAGTGCTTTCCTAGTGTTCTAAGGCATGACCAGCCCTTGGGTACCACCACATCCCAACTCTGTTTCCCAGGATTTTCCTTGCCTGTCCTGCTGCTCTCTGCAAAGCCTCCAGACAATGGCCAGCTGAGGGTGTTCCAACCCTGACTGCCAAGGCATAGAGCCCTGGCTGCGGCTGGGCCTCTTCCCTCTGCTAACTCAGCTTTGCACAGGTCTGGAAATGATGGTAACTTTGTTGTTAATAGTAACACTCCCCACTAATAGTTTCATGTTTTACAGCTTACAAAGCCCTTTTAATTTGATCCTCAGAGAAGGCAGTGGGCTTTGTGTTTAACTGATGAGGAAACCCAGGCCTCAGTAAGAGGCAGTTACTTGCCCCAAGTCATAGAGGGTAAATAGGAGAGCTTGGCTGGAACCTAGGTGCTCCTGACTGTTTGTCACTCCCTGCTGCTCATTTAGTCCCTGGGGGGTGGTGGTGGTGCCCGTGGTGGGCATTTCTTTCCTGGGGCAGAAGGAATCAGGATCACGAAGTGCTGCTGCCCATTGTCACTGCTTCACTCCCACACAGTGGAGCCTTCTGGAAAGGGGGCATGAGATGGATGGGAAGTGGGGGTTGTGTCAGCAGAGATAGGAAGAACAACTTCTTTGGGTTCCAGGCTGGTGGGAGGCAGGGATAGTTGGGACTGCGGAGCAGGGCGCGTCTTGGGAGTCATCACCATCCCCAAGCACTGGTCTCTGTACCTGGTGGCATAGCCTGAGCCAAAGCTGTGGAGCTAAGACAAGGTGGGTGCAACCTGGGGCCACGCGGGGCTCAGGGTGCCGCTGCTCTGAGCTCTAGCCCTGGGGTAATGCTGAGACCTCTACCCCTGGAGGGCAGGGCAGGAATCTGGGGAGTGGGGCCCAATCCCCTCTTCTCCCGGGACTACTCCTCCCTAGCTTGTCTCTGGTTTTTCTTGCTTTCTTTCTATGGCAGGTCTTAGGGCCCTGTATGAAGCCAGCAGAGAGGCCTGTTCAGTTAGCTCTGCCTTCACCCCTGGGAGGCCCTGGGGGCACAGATGACTCGGTGTCAAGAGAGGAAGGAGGGTGGAAATGGCAAAGGTAGAAGGAGCAGGGCCTGTCCTCTGAAGGGTGGGGCTGGGGGGTGCAGCTGTCTGGTGGGGGAGAGACTAGGGTGAGGAGAGGTCACATCTACAGAACAGCTTTTCCCCACTTACTGCCTCAATTTCTCCATCTGTGACATGGGGACTACTCCTGGGGATGCAGGGAACTTTGTGTTCCTTTAAGACTTAGGAGTGTCTGCTCTGGGAAGACAGGAGAGAAAACATGAGATGGAGGAAAGTGGATAGCAAATGAAAAAGAGAATACGAAATGAGAAGGGGTGGCCAAAAGAAGACACTTCCCAGGTCTGAGATTTGGGACCGAGGTGCTCCCAACAGGCCTACTTGCTCCTCTGTCTTGGTCTCTCCAAGGTGGTCAGTTCCCTACCATCTCTGCCTCCCTGTCTGTTCATCTCTGCAGACTCTACTAATCTCTTGCACACCTCTGTCTCTCCCTTCTTTTTTACCCTCTATGTTTCCCTCTCCCTCCTCAAACTCTCTTCAGTTCCCACTCACTGGTATTGATTGGCCTCTAGGCGGTTTCCCTTCCTCTCCTGTCACCACCGGCTCCTCCCTCCCTCCCTGTGGGACCATAAATTTTCTGCCTGCTCAGAGCTGTGTCAGTCTATATTCCAGATCCAGGGGCATAAGAACGGGATGGAGAGGGCAGGAGGAGGATGTGGCCTCTGGGGGCCCCAGCCGTGCTCCTGGCCTGGGGTCTCTCCTCTAGCACGGCACAGTGCTGGGCCCTGTACCACCCGAAGCCTCCTCTGGGTGCCTCTGAGGACAAGGATGGCTTTCTTCACTTCTAAAGTGCTGGGGGCCAAATCCGGCCCTGACATGTGGCAGGGGTAGAGGACTGGCAGCAGCTCTGGTGAGATGTCCTGGGTCCTGACTGCATCCTGGAGCTGGGGGGCAGCACATGGGGCTCATGGTGACAGTTTTTGGTCCCAAATGGAGATCAGAATCAATAAACAGGAGCCAGCTCTCTCCAGCCCCTCCCAGCCTCCTCTCTCCCACCCCTCCCCTTTCTCACTTCACCCGCCCCTGCCTCCTGTCCTTTTCTTACCCAGCCCTCCTCCTCACTCTGCTGCACTGTTTCTTCAGCTCCCCCAGGTGCCCTCTCCACCTCTCTCCTCCTTTCCCTCCTCCTCTACCTTCTGCCTTCCCACCCTCTCCCCTATCTAAGCAGGTTGATGTGTGTACCTGTCAACCGGAAAGGAGTCTCTCTGCGCTTACCTCTGGGGCCACAGGTGCTTTCCAGAGGCGTTCAAAAGTTTTCGGGGGGCAGATCTCACTTGGAGGGCATCCTGAAGGAGAAGTGGTTTCCTCAGCTTGACATATGTGGCCCAGGAAGGGTTTTGTCCTAAGTGGGACACTCAGTGGACAGATGTCCTCTAGACACCCCATGAAGGGAGAAGTTGGGGCTGGGGGAGGGGCAGTGGGCCTAGAGAGGAAGGATTGGAGTCCAGGAGAGGCTTGTGCAGGGGGCTGGACGAGCACTCTTGGGGAAGTGGTGGGGAGTTGTACGTGTGTGGCGTGTGTTATTCCTGAGTACCTTAAAGGCTCTGGGTGCATTGTATGCTGTGGACCTTATTTTGGAGGATGAGCTTGGGGGGCAGGGGTGTCTGTGTGTATGTTGGCCATTCATGGCATGTGATCAAATGTGTGTGCGTGCACATGTATGCATGCCCCTGTGAGCATGTGTACATGCTTCCCTGAGAGTGAGTTGGTGTGCCAGTGTCTGTGAGCACATGCATGCAAATATGTGTCTGAGCCTGTGTGCCTGCCCGCACACTGTGCCTGTATGGGCACGTGAATGTCTCCATACCCAAGCCGGTCCACATCTCAGTGTGCACGTGTGTTCCAAGGGGTGCGTGCAGAGGTGGCCGCCGCGGCATCTCAGCAGGCTGTGCCAGAGAGCATTACGGGGGTTTATCCAGGTGGGGTGGGTCGGGAGGAAGAAAGTGGCCTCTCTTGCTAGCCTCAGTCCCGTTCCATTATTCAGCAGGGTCCCTTCTCGAGGAGGGGGGTGCAGGATGAGCGCGCGCGTCCAGGCGCGGGGGAGGGGCGGGAGCGCGCAGCGGAGAGTCGAGCGCCGAGCGGGCTAGCCAGGTGCGGTGCGGTGGAGCTGCCCAGCGCCGCCCGCAGATCGGGAGCCGCTCTGGTCCCTCCGCCCTGCCCCCTCCTCCTCCCGCGCTCCCCTTCCCCTCCCCTCTCCGCTCTCCTTCTTCCCTCCCTCCTTTCCTCCCTCCCTCTCTTTCTCCCTCCCTCCCTCCCTCCCTCTCCCTTCCAGCCCTCTCAGCCTCTGCAGCAACACTCCGCTGCCTCCATCTCTCCGCCGGAATCTCGCAGGCTCGCGCCTTTCCTCTGCTCAGCCCCGCTCCCCTCCTCTCCTCTCCTCTCCTCTCTTCTCCTCTCTTCTCCTCTCCTCTCCCCTCCCCTCCTCTCCTCTCCCTTCATTCCCCCATCACCCGGATTTGATTCCCTTCCCCCTTCTCCCGCCCCCCTCCCCCGGCCGCTCCCTCCTTTTCCCCCGGCCTCCGTCGGGCGGCAGCGGCAGCAGCGGCGCGGCCGGCCTTAGTCGCCGTCGGTCTCCCGCCTTTGGAGGAACCAGGCCTCCGTCCCTCTTCTCTCCTC